TCCTGAAGCCCCTCCCAGGCCCAGCTGTGCATTTCCTTATAAAATTACATTTCAGCAAAGGACCTGCTAAGTCACTTTGGCAAGAAGCCGCCACCCTTGATACCAGGTTCCTCATCGTCTACCACCCCCGGGTGATGTCTGACTCCCTGGCTGGCTTTAGCTAGAATCCTGTGAGGTTGGCTTAGCCAGGATCCACCTCTGATGTTTCCTTTCGGCACTTTGCTGTCTGTACATGCCTGCCTGCCCCTCGCCTGTACATTCCCACTCGCCCTTGCTGTATTCAGATTGGAGGTTGAGCTCAGTCTCTCTCCTGCACCGCGAAGCCCCATTGCTGTGGTCCGTGTATTTAACACGGTCATTCGGACAATTTTCGTTCTCTTTTTGGTGATGCTTTCACAAGTATGAGGTTCATGCAAAAGTAGTAACTGTGATTACCAACCTCATGTCACTGAATACTTTTTTTTTCTTTAACAAAGTTTTGTTCCCGGACGAACGAATGAGGGCTGGATGCTTATTCTTGGGGTTCAGTAACGAGGTGTAGACAGATTGGGAAAGAAGGGAATTGATTTCTGCCATGGGTTACAGGGAGAAGGTTGGATCAAGTCACCAGATCAACTCCCGGTGAAAAGTTGTTTCTCCAGGGTTTATATGCATTTGAAGCTCTATGCCTACGCGTGGGATTGCACCTACAAGCAGGAGCAGTTGTCATTCAGTCCCTATCTAATCTTTAACTAGGGTCCGGGGTCTGCAAAGCTTTCTCTAGATCCTTGGAAAGTGTCGTCATCTGCAGTGAGCCCTGGTCTGAGGTGAACCTGTAAGAATGCTTTGATTATTTCATCAGACTTTAGGGTCTGTGGAAACTCAGGCAGGTCTGAACAGGTTTGTGTTGGCATTTTGGCCCTCCTTCCCAGAACCACTTTCTTCTGTTCTTTAATGTTTAACTTACACACTCATCAGAATTATAATAAAGGAAAACTGGTTGCTCTGGCTACAGATGGAGACCTGGCCTGCCACAGTTTGACGCAAATTCTCAAACAGCCATAATTCCAGCACTGTGGGAGGCTGAAGTGACAGGATCGCTTGTGCTCAGGAGTTCAAGACCAGCCTGGGCAACATAGGGAGATGCCATCTCTATGCATAAAAAATAATAAGTCGGGTGTGGCGGCACGTGCCTGTTGTCCCAGCTACTCTGGAGGTTAAGGCTGGAGGATCGCTTAAGCCTGGGAGTTGGAGGCTGCAGTGAGCTGTGATTGTAGCACAGACTGAAACCCTGTCTCCAAAACCAAAACAGAAACAAACAGCCATACACGAAAGCTTTAAAGAATGTGTTTTTTAAAAGCCGCAGTGGCGTTTTCTGCAGAAATCCTGGCTGCTTGTAAGCCAGTCAGAACCTCCACCTTTAAAGCATATCTGTTCATGTCATTCGTCCTGTAACTGTGGGGGAAAGTTGAAGATTTTTAATTAAAAAGAATATTAGAAAGAAGATGAGCACTTCTGAATCCTTTTTCATTTGAGCATGCTGTCTGGGTGGGAAATGTTATGGTTTCTGAAAACAAAGAAGAAAACATGTCATTCTTCTATTCCAGGTTCTCACCATGACCTGGGGAGTGTGATTTTTTTTTTTAAATTTTTATTGCATTTTAGGTTTGGGGGTACATGTGCAGAACATGCAAGACAGTTGCATAGGTACACACGTGGCAGTGTGTTTTGCTTCCTTTCTCCCCTTCACCCACATTCGGCATTTCTCCCCAGGCTATCCCTCCCCACCTCCCCCTCCCACTGGCCCTCCCCCTTTCCCCCCAATAGACCCCAGTGTTTAGTACTCCCCTTTCTGTGTCCATGTGTTCTCATTTTTCATCACTCGCCTATGAGTGAGAATATGCGGTGTTTCATTTTCTGTTCTTGTGTCAGTTTGCTGAGAATGATGTTCTCCAGATTGATCCATGTCCCTACAAATGACACAAACTCATCATTTCTGATTGCTGCATAATATTCCATGGTGTATATGTGCCACATTTTCCCAATCCAGTCTATCATCAATGGGCATTTTGGTTGATTCCAGGTCTCTGCTATTGTAAACAGTGCTGCAATGAACATTCGTGTGCATGTGTCCTTATAGTAGAACGATTTATAGTCCTTTGGATATATACCCAGTAATGGGATTGCTGGGTCAAATGGAATTTCTATTTCTAGGTCCTTGAGGAATCGCCACACTGTCTTCCACAATGGTTGAACTAATTTACACTCCCACCAACAGTGTAAAAGTGTTCCTTTTTCTCCACATCCTCTCCAGCATCTGTTGTCTCCAGATTTTTTAATGATCGCCATTCTAACTGGCGTGAGATGGTATCTCAATGTGATTTTGATTTGCATCTCTCTGATGTCCAGTGCCATCTAAGTGCAGTGGTACCATCTAGGTGCAGTGGTGCAGTGGTGCCATCCAGGTGCAGTGGTGCAGTGGTGCCCTCTAGGTGCAGTGGTGTGGGGTGCCATCTAGGTGCAGTGGTGCAGTGGTGCCATCTAGGTGCAGTGTTGCAGGGATGTCATCTAGGTGCAGTGGTGCCATCCAGGTGCAGTGGTGCAGTGGTGCCATCTAGGTGCAGTGGTGCAGGGGTGCCATCTAGGTGCAGTGGTGCAGGGATGCCATCTAGGCTCAGTACACGTTGAAATCCATTTTCTTGACAGCTCCCTCTTCTAGAGGCTGCAGGATTCCTTGGCTTATGACTTCTTCCTCCATCTTCAAAGCCAGCAGCACAGTATCCTCTAGCCTCTCTCTTTCTCTGACCTCTACAGTTTCTCTTACAACTTCTTTCTTTTTTAAACTGCCCAGTCTTGGGTATGTCTTTATCAGCAGTGTGAAAATGGACTAATATACGAGGTGACGTGGTTAAGGGTTGAATGGCGTCTTCCCCTGTACTTCATATATGGAAGACCTATCCCCACTCCCCCATCTGTGAATGTGACTTTATTTTGAAATGCAATGTTTGCAGATGTCATTATTTTAGATAATATTTATTTTATTTATTTTAGATAATATTTAGGTCACCATGCAGGAGGATAGGCTGTAATTCCATGACTGGTGTCTTTATGAAAAGAGGAAATCTGGACACAGATACACACAGAGGAGAACACCATGAGACCATGGGGGCAGACATTGGACTGATGTGGCCAAAATCCCAGGGACCCCTGGAGCAACCAGGGACTGGAAGAGGCAGGGAGGATCCTCTCCTATAACCTACTGAGGGAGCAGAGCCCTGAGATACCTTGATCTCAGCTCCTGGACTCAACTGGGTAAGGTCCCTGGTTTGTGGTAACTTGTTATAGCAACCATAGAAAACTAATTCAGACATATTCATAGGTTCCAGAGATTATGATTTCTATATCTTGAACAGCATGAGGGGTCATTATGAAGCCATTGGCAGGGCTTCAGTTCTAACTGTGGGCCCGGGTTGCCTTTGGTCTGTTGGACACGTACTATTCTCTGGAATGGCCATGCCAATTCCATGTGATTAGGGTGGGATTCTAGGGTGGAAATCTCATTCCAACTGTGGGTGGACGTTTAACCCAGGAATGGCCAAGTCCTTTCGCCATAATAATTGGTACAAGATGGGTGATATTGTTTGTGTCCCCACCCAAATCTCATCTAATGTCCTAAACATTAGAAAACGTAAATGTTAGCTAACATGGCAAAAGGGACTTTGCGGCTATGATGTGCTAAGAATCCTGAGATGAAGAGATATTCCTGAATTATCCTGGTGGGTTCTAACTAGTCACAGGAGTCCTTATAAGAGGGAGTTAGAAGTGTCAAAGTTAGAGAGGGAGATGTGAAGAGGGAAGCAGAGGTCAGAGAAGGAGAGAGACTAGAGGATGCTGTGCTGCTGGCTGTGGAGATGGAGGAAGAAGTCACATGCCAAGGAATACTGCAGCCTCTAGAAGACGGAGATGTCGAGGAAATAGATTTTCTTTTGGAAACTCCAGAAGGAACCAGACTGCAGACACTTTAATTTTAGGACTTCTGATTACCAGAACTATCAGAAAAATTGTGTTATTTTAAGGCAATTAAGTTTGTGGCATTTTATGACAGCAGCAATAGCAAACTCATACACTGCTCTAATGGTCTTTTAACCGCAGGTCGCCTCTCTCTCTTCTTCTTCTTCTTCTCCTCCTCCTCCTCTTTCCCTTCTCCTTTTTTTTCCTCTCAGTCTCTCTCACTCATTCTCTTTCTCCACACCTGTTCTCTCCAGAAGGGCAGATGAACTTTTTCTTTACATGGGGACTCCTGACTCTGTAAGAGAGAAGTCAGAAGCTGCCAGGTCTCCCAAGCCTAGGGCGGCAAGAGCAGTATCAGCATCCCTTATGCTGCATAATCTTGGTCAGTGCAAGTCAGAAGCTCATCCCAGATCCAAGGGGAGGAAAAAGGCTTCGACTTGTAGCTGAGCTCATTTGGAAGGTAATGGGAGGACGTGGCGTGGACCACATCCAGATTTCCACCTACAGAAACATCCAAAGGTGCAACAGCAGCCCAAGTTAGGCAACGAAGCTGTCTCAGGGCTGCCTCCTTTAGGTGGAGAGCAACCAGCTCCCTGACACCCTTCAGTTAACTGCACCTTCCTCGTTTTTGCTGCCTTGAATGTCCACGTGCTGCCTGGAGCTGTGGCAGGGATCCTGCAACGCTGTGTGCAGGAGCAGGAAGCTGGAAAGAACCTGCCAGCCCTGGATGGCTTCCTCTGTGACTCCCATTACCTGGGAGAGAACACACCTTTCTCTTGTTTAAGGCGTTCTTATTCCCAGTCTGCTCTCTCCCCTGTATAACACTAAAAGCACAGGAGTAAACTTCTGAGTGTGACTCAAGTTTTTCAGAATGGGGACGTTTGTTTAGTCCTCTCTCTATAAATAGTGAACAGCAACGCCAGGTTAGTTCCTTCAAAGCTGGGGGCTGAAGGGGTGGAGGTGGAGGAGCAGGACTGTGGATGGGAAATAAAAACTAACAAATTACACCATCCAGGGAGAGCTGTCATATTTTATTCAGTGTTTCTGCTGCACTGCCAGCCTAGGGATGCACTTGATTCCCAAGAAATGCCACCATCCTATTCAGAGCCATCCACAGATACCTGCCCCGGGGACTGCAGCAACTCTATTACCTTAACCGGTACAGAACAGAGGCTGATTTTAGCTCCCTTGTATCCACTTCCCAGTGAGTATAAGGGAGAAGAAACACCTCATGGCTCTGGGAAGGCATGTTGAGACCCGTTTTTGCAAGTCTTAAGGAATGGAAGAATATAGCTGCCATGTGCCCCAAGTCTAGGGCAGGAAGGGTAGTGTCAGTGTCACTTACACTGCATTCTGTTGGTCAATGCAAGTCAGAGGCTCATCCCAGATCTAAGGGCAGGGAAGAGGCTCCAACCTGTAATTGGGCTCACTTGGAAGGTAATGGGAAGAGTTGGTGGCTACTTTAAGACACATACCACATCCAGATTTCCACCTACAGAAAAGTCCAAAGATGTACCCACCGGAGCCCGATAGTTAATTGAAGCTGGCTCAAGACTGCCTTCTTCAGGTGGAGACTAACCAGCTCCCTGACATCCTTCAGTTAACTGCTCCTTCCTTCTTCCTGCTGCCTGGAACGTCTGTGTGCCATCTGGAGCTGTGGCAGCCTTCTTGAGACCATGAGGCAAAGTCTACATGCAAGATCAGGTAGTTAGAAAGAGCCTGCCAGTGCTGGGCTTATATCCTCCTTCCCAGGGAGCTTGAAGATAGCAAAACCCACAGCTGTTTTCATCAAATGCCAGGAAATTCTTAGGCTGGGTTCGTCTGAATGGTTGAGAGCAAAAGGCTTGTTGTAATGGGCTTGTTGAATACGGTGAAAGATGAGATGGCTTCTAGTTGCCTCCAAATCCCCATGACCCGTGCTCCATAGACGTTTCTTTTGAATGATTTTTCGGTTCTTCTGAGTGTCTCTCCTGTGTGTCCCTCCAGAACCCTCTCCAGCCTTAGAAACCTGAGCTCTACAAGTGCTGCCTCTCTCCACTCGCCTTCTCTCTGGCTTCAGATTGAGTTCAATCAACAGATGCCCCTGTAGGATGTGGACACAGGGAGCCAGGGGAGAGGGGCATCAGCTGCCTGGTTAGCAGGGCTGTGATGGTTCTTCTACTCATGATTCTCACTGCTGTGGGCAGCCTGCTGCCTCCTGCTCTTGATTCTGGAAGCTTCTATGCCGAGGTCTGATGGTGGCTCCCGGCCTCCCATTGGGAGAATGCCTCAGGAGAGGCATTCTCTCCTGAGACCATTTTTTTTTCTTCTTTAAAATAAGACAGTGACATTTAATAATTCCCCACATAACCATTTTTAAGAGCAGAGGAAGAACGAAACAAGCCAGAAACAGTAAAGTTTTTATGTGGATCTCCCTTCTGCAGGAGCTCCAGAAGGTCAAAGCATCTCCTTGAGACCCCCTTGCTATTTAGATTTGTCCATGGGAAATGAAGGAGCCTGGATCCAGATACATCTTTTTGTTTCTCTCTTTGCACTCTCCTTTTGCTTCTTCCTCTTTGGTTTTCTTCCTTCTCATTTCTGGTTCATTTTTGTCACCATCTTCCTCACGGCAACCATAATTTCAGTCCTGCATGGCTGGGGAAGCCCTCGGGAAACTCCCTATCAAGGCAGAAAACACTTCTTCACAGGGTGGCAGGAGAGAGAATGAGGAAGGGATTCCCTAGAATCCCATCCTCACCTAATACCTGGTGGTGAACACTGCCTGTCTTAGATGCCATTTATTCTCTCGTTCCAATTCCCAGCATGCTTCCTACAAACACCTCAATAGATGGACCGAGAGGAATAGTGTAAAATTCTCCTGCCCCCTGTATTGCGATCTGGGGGAAGGGGTCCCAGGTATGCAGTAAGTTAGGACTACACTTCCATCGTCAAAGCCGCAGGGGAGGGGTGAGGATGAAACATACTAGAATTGACTTAGAAAACACACTGGTCAAATCTTAGCTATTCGAGGAATGCAGGAAGAGAAGCTTCCTTCTCTCTGTATGTCTGAAGGTTCCCATGGCTGTCTCTTTGCCCAAGGGACAAACTTTCCATCAGGGTATCTTCTGTGCATTTGAGGATCTTCTGCCAATGACAGGCAATTGTGGTACACGATTCAATGCAGAATGAGATAAAGTCATTTTATTTCCCAATAAAGAGATGCATCAAAAACCTCAATCAACTCAGTAAATGTTTTCTTGCTTTCCTGCTGACCAACCTAATTCTGGTTTCAAACAGGGAAGCCAGGTGCCCACCTAAAAGCCTGCACTTCTCAATTTCCAGTTGTTTCTATGGATAATAGTTGGAAGCAGAAATTGGGTTAGGGCTTCCAGATAATCCCCCCTAACAGGGACTGATTCAAGAGAAGGGGATGCCCTTTGGTTCATTCTCCTTCCTGCTGCCTGGAATGTGATGTCTGGCACTGTGGCAGCCATGTTGACATAATGAGGCCAACTCTCTGCCATGCTAAGAGTGGCAGAGCTGGGTGTTGACAAGAGCTTGCTAGCGTTGGGTTGCTTCCTCTTGAGCTGCACACTACTTGGAAGAGAACACATTCTTCTCTTGTTCTTTCCATTAGGCATTTTTTTAAGGCAGGGTCTTACTCTGTTCCCTAGCTTGGAGTGCAGTGGTGCTCATAACTCACTGCAGTTTCAACCTCCCAGGCTCAAGCGATCCTCACACCTCAGCCTCCTAAGCAGCCGAGACTACAGCTGTGTGCCACCACATCTGGGCTATTTGGTTTTGTAGAGACGAGGTCTCGCCATGTTGCTCAGGCTGGGTAGGTATCGAACTGCTGGGTTTCCAGTCATCCTTTGACCTCGGCCTCCCGAAGTGCTGGGATTACAGGTGTGAGTCACCATGCCTGGCTTTGTTTAAGGCACTCCTTTTTCCCAACATCTGTTACCAGCAGCCTGAAGCCATTTCTATAATAATACCATGAGGACACATGAACAGAGACTCTAATGCATGAAAAACGCATCAACCCTTTGAGATCAATATGTCCTCAAGAACAGAGATGAGAGGCTTTCACTTTCCTCAGCTATGTGAAAGAGTAGGAACAGACACTTTGCCCTGTCCTTTCAGAAGGCTGTTATGTCATCTAGGTACTGAAATTGGAACAATGCTTTAAGACGGATGGTGGAAACATGGGGCACTGGCACAATAATGAGCCCTGAGATTTAGAAGAGGAGGAGGAGGCATTAGTGGGTGCATGCTGGGATAGACTTACTTCACAGATCAGAAAATGGAGACCCTAGATGGGGGCAGTGGATCATATGTAATCCTAACACTTTGGGACGCTGAGGCGGGTGGATGACTTGAGGTTAGGAGTGTGAGACCAGCCTGACCAACATGTTGAAACGCTGTCTCTACTAAAACTACGAAATTTAGCCAGGCGCGGTGATGGGTGTCTGTGACCCCGGCTACTCTGGAGGCTGAGGCAGGAGGATCACTTGAACCTGGCAGGTGGAGGCTGCAGTCAGCAGAGATCATGCCTTTGCACCACTCCAGCCTGGGCAACAGAGCAACACTCTGTCTCAAAAAAAGAAAGAGAAAGAAATAAAAAGAAACAAAGAAAGAAAGAAAGAAAGAAAGAAAGAAAGAAAGAAAGAAAGAAAGAAAGAAAGAAAGAAGGAAAGAAAGAAAAGAAAGAAAAGAAAGAAAGAAAATAGGGACCCACTCTCAGTCCAGGGCATGTTCCTTGCAAAAGGGAAGCTGAAGATAAGACCAAGCTTGGAGAACTTTGTTTTCGGCAGGGCATCCTCCCTCACAGTGCTGGCATTCGGGGGCTGCCATCCCCATCCTCGCGGCATGAGCAGAACGGGAAATTTCCGCAGCATGGCTGTAGCCATGGCTTCCACACGATGTTGCTCATGGAAAACTGCTGGGGCACAGGCCTCAGGGTCTGCCGATGCTCTGACACCGCTGCGCCCACCCTTGCCATCACGGCGTGGTACAGGGGCTCAGAGTCAGGGGTCAGAGGTCGTGCCTCGGAGGGGTCCCTGGAGAGGTCAAAGAGCAAAGGGGGTTTGTGATGGGTCACGCCCTCCCCTGAGCACGGGCAGATGCCTCGGCCGTAGCAGGCCCCTGCTCCCTCAGGGTGGAACTGTGGGGTCATGTAATGAATCTTCCAGACGCTTCCACCTGGATGTAGACAAGAAGGGAGTCAGAGTGGCAGAAATCCACACAAGTGTGAACACTGGGCGCAGGTGTCAGCTCTGTGGAGTCAGCATGACCCTCCCTGTTCAATGAAAAGGAGGGACGGGAGGGAGGCTGTTGACACAATCGCAGCCTTCAGCGTGTCAAGTCAGAGTGTATGTGTGTATGTGTGTGTGTGCGCCCCCATGTGTGTGTCCGTCTGTGTTTCTACTTCGCATGCTCCAGGCAAAGAGACTCACTGTGGCTGCTTTCAGAAATCAGAATCATGGAGGTTCCTTAATTCTTACCCTTTCCCCTTGTTGAAATTGCTCAGCGTCCCTCTACTACCTTTCTACACAGAAACGGCCATAATACTTTAAACAGCACGATTGGATACTTATCTATCTATCCCTACGTATTGTATATCGATCCATCCATTTATCTTACCCATCTATGTCATCTATCATTATCTCTTTATCTATCAATCATCTATCTTATCTATCTATTCATTATCTATCCATCCATCATGTATCTTACCTATCTATCCATCATCTATCTTATCTCTCTACATCTAGCTATGCATTATCTATCTATCCATCCATTTATCTTATCTATCTATCCATTATGTCTTATCTATCCATCATCATCTCTCTCTCTCTACTCTCCAATCACCTATGTATAGTCTACTCATTGGTTGATTTATCTCTATTTCTATAGCTATCTGCCCGTCAATTCATCCATCCATCCATCCATCCATCCATCCATCCATCCATCCATCCATCCAACCAACCATATATCCTTCCACATATCCACACATCCTATTGGCTGTTTCTCTGGACAACTCTGGCTGTGGGCAGCGTTCACTTACTGTTCTTCTGGTGCCAGCGTGCTGCATGGAGATGCTGCCCACAGTAATGAAACAGAAACTCATGTGCCGAGCGTGTCTCAGTTCCCTGCAGCAAGGGCACCAGGCTGTGGCCGTCAATCACCCTGATTCCATGAAGAGACCACAGAGCAGAGTCAGACCATGGGTTCCCAGGAAGCCTTTTGCACCTGGTAACAAACCTCCAAGATTGCAAGGCTCCCCAGCAAATGGAGCAGACATGAGCTGTTTCCCCAGTCACTGTTAAGATTGCAAGGCTCCCCAGCAAATGGAGCAGAGATGAGCTCTTTCCCCAGTCACTGTTAAGATTGCAGGTTGCAGAGCATGATACATGTGGTTATTTCAAGACACAGGGTCTCTAACTGTTGGGGTTATTTGTTATGCACCCAGCACTGCCACCGGGATGTTAACACAAAGCCTTCAAGTTCCAGCTGGACAGCACACATTCCTAGGTTGACTTTTCTTACTTTTTGTGTTTTGAGGCAGAGTCTTGTTCTGTCACCCAGGCTGCACTGCAGTGACCCAATCTCAGCTCAATGTAACCTCTGCCTCCTGGTCAAGTGATTTCTTGTGCCTCAGCCTCCTGAGTAACTGGGACTACAGGTACAAGCCACCACCCCCAGCTAATTTTTGTATTTTTGTATAGATGGAGTTTCACCACATTGGCCAGGCTGGTCTCAAACTCCTAACCTTAGATGATCTGCCTGTCTCGACCTCCCAAAGATCAGTTGATCCCAGGAGTTAGAGACCAGCCTGGGCAACATGGCAAGACCCTGTCTCTTAAAAAAATAAAAGGATTTGGGGATGAGAAGTTAGAGATAGGGTTCTTCATATGATCATCCCTTACATAGGAGCATTTATTTGTTTCTTTAATTAGAGTAAAATAAAATCATTGCCAAAGTATTTGCTTAATATTTTTTCTCTTGTATAAGGTTGACTCTGGCAATATGCTTATATCAAGGTGATAAACCATCTTTAAAGCAGTTTTTCTTGCTTCACTAACATACTGGCAAGATTGTATGTATATTTGGGGAAATTATAGGAAGATGTTTGTACATGGATCGCATTCTAATGATTTAATCTTCTCTTTTTTATGCTGAGGTTCAAAATTTGCCAATAATGGAAATGATGGAAAGTGAGTATTACGGCCACTGTCTTTGTTCTTATGTTATTTTATAACTGGGGACAGGCATTTTCCACTAGGCTGGTTCCCAAATTGGAGGAATTGAATTTTTCTTAAAGTTTCAATGTTGTTCTATCCCTCCTAATACAAAGGAATGAGAGGAAACTAATGATAAGGAAAATGTAAGTCAAAGCCACTGTGGAATACTACCTCACTCCTCCAAGAATGGCAGTCATCAAAGCATCAAACAATAACAGGTGTTGGCGAGGATGCAGTGAACAGGGGACACGTCTACACTGCTGGCGGGAATGTAATCCAACCACTGTGGAAAACAGTGTGGAGATTCCTTAAGGAACTAAAAATGGAACTACCAGCAATCCCCCTCCTGGTGTCTACCTAGGGAAAAGAAGTCGTTATAGGACAGGATGCTTTCACACGCACACTTATAGCAGCACAACTAGCAATTGCAAAAACATGGAACCAGCCCAAATGCCCATCAATCAAACAGTGGGTTTAAAAAGTGTAATATATATGTATGTGTGTATACACACACACACACGCATGCACTCCATGGAATATTATTCAGCCATGAAAAGGAACTAAATAATGGCATTTGCAGTAACCTCCATGGAATTGGACACCATTATTCGGAGTGAATCACTCAGAAATGGAAAACCAAACATTGTATGTTCTCACTCATAAATGGAGCTTAGTTATGAGGATATAAAGGCATAAGAATGATACAATGGACTTTGGGGATGCAGGGGAAAGGGTGGGAGGGGGTGAGGGATGAAGGACTAGACATTAGGTACAGTGTCCACTGCTTGGGTGGTGGGTGCACCAAAATCTCAGAAATCAATACTGAAGAAGTTACTTGTGGCTGGCCGCAGTGGCTCACACCTGTAACCCTCGCACTTTGGCAGGCCAAGGCAGGTGGATTGCCTGAGCTCAGGACTTTGAGAACAGCCTGGGCAACACGGTGAAACCCCATATCTACTAAAAGTCAAAAAATTAGCTGGGCATGGCAGTGTGTGCCTGTAATCCCAGCAACTTGGGAGACTGAGACAGGAGAATTGCTTGAACATAGGAGGTAGAGGTTGCAGTGAGTTGAGATCCTGCCATTGCACTCCAGTCTGGGCGACACTCCAACACTCCGTTTCAAAAAAGGAAAAGAAAAACTTATTCATGTAACCACACACCACCCGTTCCCCAAAATTCTATTAAAATGAAAATAAATAAAAACTAAAAACTAAAAACAATTTTAAAAAATCAGGGAACAGGCAACCTTATCTCCACGTACCTGTCCTGGGGCACCTCGCCACCCGCCAGCTGGACCACGGTGGGGAACACGTCCATCAGGCTTGTGGGCTCATCAATTACTCTGCCAGCCGGGAGCACCCCGGGCCAGTGGAAGATCCCAGGTACTCGGATCCCACCTTCCCATCCTCCCATGCCCTTCCCACCTGTAAGTAAAAGACACTGTTAGGATTTTGCTGGAAACTGCCCAGTTTGTATGCACACCTGGATGTATTTGTGCACAGCCACCCACATGCACACATGCACACTGGGGCAGCCTGAGGTCACCAAAAACAGCCACAGCAGTATTTTCAGAATTGTGCTACTCCCCAGCCTCTTGAATATCAGTGGGTCACTGTGTCTGCTTCAACTGTTATAGTCACTCTATGCTACCTTTATTTAGAATAAAAGAATGGTTAAAATATTTTTTATAGGCTGGGCGTGGTGGCTCAGCCTGTAATCCCAGCATTTTGGGAGGCCGAGGCGGGTGGATCACGAGGTCAAGAGATTGAGACCATCCTGGCCAACATGGTGAAACCCCGTCTCTACTAAAAATACAAAAAATTAGCTGGATATGGTGGCGCGTGCCTGCAATCCCAGCTACTCGGGAGGCTGAGGCAGGAGAATTGCCTGAACCCAGGAGCGGAGGTTGCGGTGAGCTGAGATCGCGCCATTGCACTCCAGCCTGGGTAACAAGAACGAAACTCCGTCTCAAAAAAAAAAAAAAAATATATATATATATGTATTTTTATATATTCATACTTCAAAAATGATTGTCAAATATCAACAATTTAACATTTATTAAATATTATGCATCAATATTAATTGATGCATTTAAAACATTAAAGTTAAAATAGTAATACATTAATTAAATATTCAAAAATTAAGAATAAAGAAAATTTTAATTTTGTCTGAATTATTTATTTATGTATCTCTCTTCTGCTAAAATGCAAGCCCTTTAAAGGAAGAGGATGTGACTTTGTATCTGCCTGTCCTGCGCATCTAGGAAGAGCTTGGTCTACATTAGGTGCTCCATACATTCTTTTTGAAGTGAGCAAACTCATTTTCAGTTTGACTTGTTCTGGGACCCTCGGTGGTGGGAGCTATTTGGTCAAATGCATATGTGCCCACAATGTCCACAACTCACCTTTGTAAATTCCGTTCCATCCCCCTAACTGGCTGTGTCCATCTCTTGCCTCTAAATGTCCTCCATGGTCAGAGGTGAAATATGTGAAAGTTGAGTTCTTCAAACCATTGTCTTCGATGGCATTAAGAATCTTCCCTTTACAGAAAATGGAAAGCTTCAGGACAAAGTAAACAGAGCGGCATCTGCTAGCTCAACGTAGTTCTTCCTTTCTGCATAAGACACCTCTCGCCAGGAAGTCATCAGAAGAGACCGCAGTTCCTTGGAGACCACGGTTGCAATGAGATCCCAGGGCATAAGATGTAGCTAATGATTGTGACACCACAGGACTGTTTACAATGCAAACCAATAATAAAATTCTAAGCTCCCCACAACTGACTGATAGACTCTCCCCTTGGCCAAGGCCATTCCAAAGTTATCTTGAAAAAGTAGGTCAGGCTGGGCATGGTGGCTCACACCTGTAATCCCAACACTTTGGGAGCCTAAGATGGGTGGATCACCTGAGGCTGGGAGTACAAGACCAGCCTGGCCATTATGGTTAAACCTCATCTCTACCAAAGGCACAAAAATTAGGCAGGTGTGGTCATGCACACTGTCATCCTAGCTACTTGGGACCAAGGCTGAGGTGGGAGAATGGCTTGAACCTAAGAGGCAGAGGTTGCAGTGAGCTAAGATTGCACCACTGACTGCAGCCTGGGTGACAGAGCGGGACTGTCTCAAACAAACAAACAGACAAACAAACAAAAAAGAAACAATAAAAAAAAAGCTAGGTCAGGCCATGATGAAAAGTAGTGGCTGGAGAGGGGCGAGTGCAGTTGGACATGCATTATGATACCCTCCTTTCTTTGGAATTCACGTACAACTGACCAGCATTCACATTCAAAGAGAGACCTCATGACTGAGGGAAGGCCAGGCACACTGGCTCATGGCTATCATCCCAGCACTTTAGGAGGCCAAGGCAGGAAGATCGACTGAGCTCAGAAGTTCAAGACTAGCTTGGGCAACACGGCAAAGCCCCATTTCTACAAGCAATACAAAAACTAGCCAGGCTTTGTGGCACATGCTTGTATGTAGTCCCAGCTACTCAGGAGGCTGAGGTGGGAGGATCACCTGAGCCTGGGAGGTCAAAGCTGCATGAGTCAAGATGGCACCACTGCACTCCAGCCTGGGCGACAAAGTGAGACCCTGTTTAAAAAAAAAGAGTGATAGAACAGACTCTTTAAGTCTGATAAGAAACACTTACTGTGTATTGTCTCTGAAGCCTGCTACCTGGAGGCTTCATTGGCATCATAAAACCTTGGCCTCCACAGCCTCTTATTGGAAACCAGACATTCCCTTCTATTGATTCTCAGATAATAACCCTTTCAACCACCTGCTGATCAGAATCTGTAACTCTGCCTTTGACCTGGAAGCCCCTCTTGCAGGTCTTGCCTTTCTGGAACGAATCAAGGTATGTCTTCCACATATTGACTGATGCCATATGTCTTCCTACATTTACAAAACCAGCTGCACCCCGACATCTTGGGTACATGTCCTCAGGACCTCCTGAGGCTGTGCCATGGGCCACTGATTCCTCATATAATAAATCTCCAAATATTTACAGAGTTTGACTCTTTTGGTTGATCTCAATATACCACCAATACAAAACACTGAATGAACACACAATGCCAAAAGGTTGTCAATTGGCATGCTTTTATAAACACAGTGCCTGCGTGTGTGTGTGTGTGTGTGTGTGTGTGTGTGTGTGTGTGTGTGTGTGTGACATTATCAAGACATTGGGGCGAGGGAAATGGTGAGACTCAGTGATGACAGAACCGTGTCCACACAAGAAGAAGCAGGGCTGTAAGCTGCATCGACGGGTATGGCGTATTGGAGGCTGACTCAGAAGTGCAGAGGACACTCTGCAAAGCAATTGCTTTATCTCTGGAGGCCACTGGTCATTGAAAGCACTGAAAGTCAAGATGATATAAACCACACTGTCATCTGTAACTCCAAAAATGCAGAGTTTGAAGACTGCTGTGCACTGGAAAGTATCTGAGACAGGTCTCAATCAATTTAGAAAGTTTATTTTGTCAAGGTTAAGGATGCGCCCGTGACACAGCCTCAGGAGGCCCTGATGGCGTGTTCAAGGTGGTTGGGGCAAAGCTTGGTTTTGTATGCTTTAGGGAGACGAGACATCAGTGAATACATGTAAAATGTGCATTGGTTTGAGCTGGGAAGGTGGAACAACTTGAAATGGGGGGTTTAAACATATTCTGATTGGTAATTGATTGAAGAATTGTTATCGACAGAAAGGAATGTCTGGGTTATGATAACGGGTTGTGGACACTCAGGTTTTACTGTGCGCATGGTGCCTGCACATTGCAGGCTTCAGAGAGAATAGACTAAATGTTTCTTATCAGACGTAAGGTCTGTGTGGGTGTTCATGCTGAGGGTAGAATGAAGGGTGTCCAACCCCCTCCTCCATCATGGCCGGAAACAGTCTCTCCGGTCAAATTTTAGGGTACCCCGATAAAGGAGGAAATCCATTCAGATGGTTGTGGGGGGCCTTTGAATTTTATTTTTGGTTTACATTGTGAACCAATCGCGCCCTATCACTATGCTTGTCTCAGGAGATCCGTTCAGATTCTGCAAGGATTTTACTATCTGCACTCTCTTAAGAATCTGCAGCCTCACTGCTCCTCTCCAGGGTTTCTTCAAGGCTGTAGGAGGAAGGTGACGTCTCTGCATCATCCTGAATGTTAACTTTATTACTTTAGTTTCTGTTCCTTCTAACGAGGACATTAAGTCACCGGCTGTGTGGAAGGCTGACAATGTGCTTTGGATCTGTGCCCCTGCCCAAATCCCCTGTTGAATTGTAATCTTCGGTGTTGGCGGTGCGGCCTGGTGGGAGATGACTGGATGATGGGGGCAGAGTTCTCATGAATGGTTGAGCACCATCCCCCTCCTTGGTGCTGTGGAGTGACTGGGTTCTCTCGAGATCTGGTTGTTTGAAAGTGTGTGGCTCCTCACCTCCTCTCTTGGTCCTGCTCCTGCCACGAGACGCCTGCTCCCCCATTCACCTTCCGCCACAACCAAAGTTCCCCAGGCCTCCCCAGAAGCAGATGCCGCCGTACTTCCTGTACAGCCTTCAGACCCGTGAGCCAATTCAGCCTCTTTTCTTTATAAATTACCCAGTCTCAGCTATTTCTGTGCGAGAATGGACTAATACAGTTGATTTTGTGCAAATTAGACTAAGAGCTTGAAAACACTGAAGGAGCAAATTAATGATATGAGAGAAGTTTTTCTCCCTATTCTTTGTCTTTTATTTCTTTTGATTTTGGAGACAGGGTCTTACTCTGTTGCCCAGGCTGGAGTTCAGTGGTGCAACAGTTATAGCTCATTGCAGCCTCAACCTCCCGGGCTCAAATTATCTTCCCACTTCAACCTCTGGAGTGGCTGGGACCACAGGTGCATATCACCATGCCTGTCTAACTTTTTTAATTTTTTGTAGAAATGGGGGGGGTCTCACTATGTTGCTCAGGCTGGTCTTGAACTCCTGACCTCAAGCAATCTGCCTGCCTCAGCCTCCCAAAATGCTGGGATTACAGGCATGAGCCACCTTGCCCCACCTGGAAATGCAGACTTTTAAGACTGTGAACTAATCCCACTCTGTGACTATGCTTGTCTCAGGAGACACATTCAGATTCTGCAAGAATTGTAACGTCTATGCTGTTTCAAGAATCTGCAGCCTCACTGGTCCTGTCCAGGGTTTCCTGAAGGCCACAGAAGGAGGACAGTGTCTCTGCACTGTTCTCAACGTTAACTGTATTGCTTCACTTTCTGTAACTTCTAATGAGGACATTAAGTCACTGGCTGTGTAGAAGGTTGATTCCGTGCAAAATTAGACTAAGTAACTGAGAATACTGAAGGAGCAAATAAATGATATTGGAGCATGTTCTGCTCCCATTCTTTGTACTATTATTATTATTATTTATGAGATAGGGTCTCACACTCTTGCCCAGCCTGGAGTACAGCAGTGCAACCTCAGCTCACTGCAGCCTTGACTTCCCAGGCTCAAGCGATCCTCCTGCCTCAGCCTCCTGAGACACTGGGACTACAGGCATGTATCACCATGCCTGGCTAAGCATTTTATTTTTTGTAGAGACGGGGTCTCACTATGTTGTACAAGCTGGATTTGAATTCCTGACCTCAAGCGATCTGCCCACCTGGGCCTCCCAAAGTGCTAAGAGTTACCTTATTCTTTTTTTCTTTCTTTCTTTCTTTTTTTTGAGACAGAGTCTTGATCTGTCACCCAGGCTGGAGTGCAGTGGCACGATCTCAGCTCACTGCAATCTCCGCCTCATGGGTTCGAGTGATTCTCATGGGACCACAGGTGTACACCACCAAGCTGGGCTAATTTTTTGTATTTTTAGTAGAGACAGTGTTTCATCATATCCCCCAGGCTGGTCTCAAACTCCTGACCTCGGATGATTCACCCGCCTCAGCCTCCCAAAGTGCTGGGATTATAGGCATGAGCTACCGCTCTTATTTTTTATTGCAAGCTGGCTCATATTCAGATGGCCAGTCTGTTACACCCTACGTTCAATGCTGAGGCCAAGAGTGGAGGGAAGCTCTGTGGTAACAACACTGAGGCTAAGAGTGCAGGGAGGCTCTGTGGAATGTTGACTTACCTACAAGCCAGTCCATCTCCTCCACATTGTCACCATATAAGCCATGCTGACTTTTCCCCAGGAATGCTGCCGTGGTCACAAGGGGGATGTGTACATGGAGCAAAGACAGGAAGAGGAGAAATGGCCCATGCTTGTGTCTGAAAGACGAAAGCCTCCTTGAGAATCCACAGAATACACTGTACCTCAAAGGGACCCCTGCACCCTTGTGTTTACGCCACACTATTCACGAGAGCCAAGGCAGGGGATCCGCATCTGAGTCCATCAGTGAATGAATGCATCAAGAATAGATAGGGGGCTGGGTGCAGTGCCTCACACCTGTAATCCTAACACTTTGAGAGGCTGAGGCGGGAGGATCGCTTGAGGCCAGGAGTTCCAGACCAGCTTGGGCAACATGGGGAAATGCCGTCTCTATAAAAAATAGAAAAATTAGCCGGGTGTTGTATCTTGAGCCTGTAGTCCCAGCTATTCGGGAGGCTGCGGTGGGAGGATGGCTTTAACCCGGGAGGTGGAGCATATAGTGAACCGTGATCACACCACTCCCCTCCAGCATGGGTGGCAGAGTCAGACCCTGTCTCTAAAAAAACAAATAAATAAATAGTGTATGTCCACAGTGGAACACTATTCAGCCATAGAACAAGGATGGAGGCTGGGCACGGTGGCTCAAGCCTGTAATCCCAACATTTTGGGAGGCTGAGCCGGGCAGATCAGTTGAGGTCAGGAGTTCGAGACCAGCTTGGCCAACATGGTGAAATGGTGAAACCCCGTCTCCACTAAAAATAAAAAAATTAACAGAATGTGGTGGCAGACACCTATAATTCCACCACTGAAGAGGCTAAGGCACGAGAAGTGCTTGAGCCAGGAAGACGGAGATTGCCATGAGCCGTGATCATGCCACTGTTCTCCAGCATGGGTGACAGAGCCAACCCTGTCTCAAAAAAAAGGGAATGTCTGGTGTATGTACATAATGGAATACTAGTCAGCCATCAAAAAGAATGGAATCCTGTCATTTGCAGCAACACAGATAAAACAGAAGATTATTATGTTAAGTGAAATAAGCCAGGCACAGAAAGACCGATCCTGCATTTTCTCACTCCTATGTGGGAGCTAAAACAATCGATCACATGAAGATAGAGAACACAGTGATAGAGACCAGAGGCAGGGACGCGTGAAGGACAAAGAGAAGTGGTTTTAAAGAGCCCAAACATACAGTAACCTTAAAGGGCCACATTTCATGTCTGAGCGCAGAGGGAGATGGACACCCTAAGTATGCTGACTTGATTGCCGCTCAGTGCATACACGTAAGAAAATGTCACACATATACCATAAATGTGTACAAATTAAAAAGTAAGGGTCAGGCATGGTGGCTTCTACTTGTAATCCCAATACTCTGGAAGGCCGAGGTGGGAGGATGGCTTGAGCCCAGGAATTCGAGACCAGCTTGGGCCATATAGTAAGACTTTGTCTCAAAAAAAAAGGAAGAAAAAGTGACACATTTAAAAAGGCCAGATACAGTGGCTCACTTCTGTAATCCCAGCACTCTAGGAGGCCAAGACTGGAGGATTGTTCGAGCCCAGGAGAACCCATATCTACAAAGAATGCAAAAAAGTTTAAAAACTGTCAAAGAAAATAATGTAGAGAGTCCAATGGCATCTATGTCAATGCTATTTGAGCCATCACATGCCTTCAACATCGAGGTTCTAAGACGGGCAACGCAGCCCTATAAAAAGGTTGGCTTCTGTAACCATCTCCTCCTAGGGCTGTTGTCCGAGACCCCAGAGATCATAAGCAGACTCTCAGATGTTCTGAGACGTTACCATCTCTTTTTAAAAATTAAATCTTATGTTTTTAGCAACAAGGCCTCACTCTGTTACCCAGGCTGATGTACAGTGGTGTGATCATAGCTTTCTGCAGCCTCTAAAACCCAGGCTTTAGTGGTCCTCCCACCTTAGCCTCCTGAGTAGCTGGCATTGCTGACACACACCACCATGCCTGGCTAAGGATTATATTTATTGTAGAACCAGTCTTCTTATGTAGCCCAAGCTAGTATCAAACTCCTGGGCTCAGGGGATCCTCCCATCTTGGCCTCCCAATGTGCCTCACAGGCGTGAGCCACCGCACCCGGCCCCGTCTACTGTTTCAGATGCGACAGTTGCTTACCTCTCAATATAGGAAATGGCTTCCTTTAGCATAAGACTTGCTGTGTTCTCCAGAACCATGGGCTGCTCCGTGACATCATGGTTTCTCATCAGGATACAGTTCCAGCGGCGCACAAACCCAAAGCTGGAGTACCAGCAGATGAAAAACAGGAAGACCAGGCCGGCCATGCCAGTGACTGCTCTCCTGGAGACAGAGATGAGACCGCAGGTCTTGCCCGCGGCCACGGTGAGAATCCCCAGCGCCAGGCACTGGGTGTAAACCCAGAGCTGTGCCCTGAGGCCAGCGTCCACTTCGGGGGGCCTGCCTGGGTCACAGTCGTTGGTGAGCGTGAAGGGCATGCCGTAGAAATAGTCAAATCCGTGCTTCAGCGGGTGGTGGCAGTGATCCGCCCGGGCTGCACAATTCACTCCCTGGTGCCCTTTTCCTAAAAGAAATGCAAAATGTTGCACAGAGACCCCTGGAATCATTCAGCAGTGGCTGGAAAAGAAGAGTCTGCAAAGAGCAAAACCGGAAATCAAAAGGCAATGAATGGATAGCGGTGTTTAAATGAACGCATTCTGATCCATGAAGACGGACGCATGCATCCATGTCGGAACCTTTGGCAGGTGACCCAAGGTTTAAGACTTTACAGGATGTTGGTCTTACAGGCTTGCAGCCCTAGACCATTCCACTATTAAATAATTTACAAAATATCTACATAAGTGTGTAATACATGTATTTATAGTATAGGTAATATATATTATATTACACCACCTGGATGATAGAGCAAGACTGTCTTTAAAAAACTATAAAGAATAAATCCACCCTCAGGGTAGGACATACAGAGACTTCTTCACTATAAAGCACTGGCCTTGTCATCCCAGCACTTTGGGAGGCTGAGGTAGGTGGATCACTGGAGTTCAGGAGTTTGAGACCAGCCTGGCCAACATGCTGTAATCCCAGCTCTACTATAAATACAAAAAAAATTAGCTGAGCATGGTGGGACATGGCTGTGGTCCCAGCTGCTCGGGAGGCTCAGGCAGGAGAATCACTTAACCCCGGGAGGTGGAGGCTGCAGTGAGCTGAGATCATGCCACTGCACTCCAGCCTGGGTGGCAGAGCAAGACTTCATCTCAAAAAAATAAAAACAAAAAAGAAATAAAAGAAGAAAAAGTTTTTTAAGAAAATAAAAAAAAGTGGCAGGAAACTTGAAAAGGAGAATGACGGTTGTCCTCCTGAAGCAAACCACAGCCTTGAACAAGTGGGGTGTTGCAGCTCCCGTGAACTCGACGGTGGCTTTGGGTGTGGGAAGTGCACAGAGAGGAAATGGGGACCCTGCACAGAGATCCCACCACCAGGTCAGGGCGGGCGACCCCACCATTGAGCTCCCATGTTCTCGTGTGTATGATGGTGACAGCACCTCTAAACCCACAGGCTGGGCAGGGAACGAAGGAGGTAACCCCCAGACTGCCTGGTGCTTGATGGCATAAATCAACGTCTCCCTCCGTTCCTCTCCATGCAGAAAGGGATTTAAGGGGCAGGTCCTAGATGGTGTCCCTTACAAAGGCCGGCTTGCAAGATTCCCCCGTGGCTGGTGTCTGAGGATTTACAGTGGAGAATTCACACTATTCTTAAAATAATAAGCTGACCATGCCTACACCATATGAAAAGCAACATACTTCATGGGAGCACCTCCTTCGGTTCTAGGAGTCTGCAATTCGGGTCAGTGCCAGGCAGTGCCAGCAGGACCAGCCCGCAACAGAAACCCCTGGGCACTGAGTCTCCTGGGAGCTTCCCTAGCAAACAGCATTCCATGCGTGTTGTTAAAACCCATTTCTGGAGGAATTTGGTGCATCTTGTGTGATCTCACTGGGGGAAGATTCTTGGGAGCTTGGGTCTGGTCTCCCCCGAGCTTCACCCCATGTGATTCCCATGGCTTTGACTGTCACAAATCTCCCATGAGTACAATTGCATGCCAAGCCTTCCTAGCACATTTCTAAACTTATGGATGGTCTTGGAGACCCTCAACATGCTTTCTTTTAAAAAGGGTGGACTTGGAGCCCCCTGACATGCTCTCCCTTTTAAAGAGTAGTCTTGGAGCCCCCTGACATGCTCTCCCTTTTAAAGAGTAGTCTTGGCAACCCCCGACCTGCTCTCCCTTTTAAAGAGTAGTCTTGGAGCCCCCTGACATGCTCTCCCTTTTAAAGAGTGGTCTTGGAGACCCCCGACATGTTGTCTGTTATAAAGAGGGTGTTCCGACCCTGCCGGGCTTGTTGTATAAAGGAAGGCAGTGTTTCTCAACTCTGGGGGTTCTGAGGTGGCGAGAGGCCATGTAGAGAAAGATAATGTCTGAAGAGTAGTAAACGGGGACAAGCTGAGGACTGATAGGTCCAGAGAGGAAAGGAGGGCAGTCTCCTAGGATTTTGAATTAAAAAAGAAAAAGCCTCATCTCAAACTGGGGACAGTGCAACAGGCATGAGCTGGACCAGGCACCAACTTCCAATTCAGAGGACACGGGATTGTTTCCTTTGCAGGAAACCAGGATCTTTTTGATCACTGATCTTCTCAACCACCGAATAACATGAGGCTCCCACATCTCCACACCTATGAGGCCGGTGGCATAGCCGCGCTGCTGCAGGATTCTTGCAAAAGTGGTTTCATTCTCGGGAAGTCCACCTGAGCCCGCATTCCACTGGAGGGCCCGGTATCCATTGCTGGCCTCCATGCCTGTGGGGCAGGAAAAGAGGAAGAGTTTACTCTCCCTTCTCTAGAGGAGTAGTTCCCAACCAGGGAGCTTTGGTGTCTGAGATCTGGATGTGTGCACCCGAGCCACACTGCTGTTGCCTATCATCCATCTATCACGTATCAAGCTATCAATGATTTACCTATCTTCTGTCAACTGTCTATCTATCTATCTGTATATCTATCTATCATCTATCTATCTATCTATGTATCTATCTATCTGTATATCCATCTATCATCTATCTATCATCTATCCCTCTATCTATCTGTGTATCTATCTATCTATCTATCTATCTATCTATCTATCTATCTATCATCTATCTATCACACTATTCTCAAAATAATGAGAATGGCCAATGTCTGGAGATGGTTTTGTTGTCCCAACTCAGAAAGGGTGGGATGTGGTGTGTGGAGCCCTACATCCAGCGCACAAAACAGCCCCCCACAGAAAATCATCTAGCACCAAGTGTCCATGGTGCCAAAACAGAGACACCTTACCTTACAATGACAGACTCTATAGGATCTGTCCTATGTCTGCCTAGCTGTCACCTGTCTATCTCAATATGTATTCATCATCTATCATCTGTATCCATCCATCTATGTATCTATCAGCTATCATTATCATTAATCATCTAGCTATCAGTCAGCTAACATTAACTATCATCTCTTATCGTTCTGTCATCTGTCATTGTCTATTAATCATCTCTCATCTATCTACGTAGCTATCAATCATCTATCATGTCATTATCTATCGTCTGTTACTCTGTATCATCACCATCTGGATATCTAGCTATCAATCATCCATTATCTATCACTGTCTACCCATCTATTTATCATATCACAGTGATTCTCAACGTGGGGAACTTTACTCTCTAAAAGACACTTGGTCTTGTGATCGATCGGTCATGCTGGCTGAGAACAAACCTCCTTAAAATATTCCACGGACTTTGGTTTTGCTGTTCACATCCCAGTGATCACAGCTTTTTTTTTTTTTTTTTTTTTTTTTTTGAGATGGAGTCTCGCTCTGCAGCCCAGGCTAAAACGCAATGGCGTGATCTCAGCTCACTGCAACCTCCGACTCCCAGGTTCGGGCGATTCTCCTGCCTTAGTCTCCCTAGTAGCTGGGATGACAGGAACGAGTCACCATGCCCAGCTTATTTTTGTATTTTTAGTAGAGACGGGGTTTTGCCATGTTGCCCAAGCTGCTCTCAAGCCCCTGACCTCATGATTCGCCCGCCTCAGCCTCCCAAAGTGCTGGGATTACGGTGAACCACTGTGCCTGGCCACAGCTTTTATGTGTCGCACACAATACGATACTCCTTACATAAATTCAAGGAAGACGATGCATTGCAGATAATCTTTGTACCATTTCCCACCTGTCTTCACCATCAGTACTCAACTGTTACAGATGGTAGAATGAGTGGACACAGACGTGCCCATTTCTCTGTCATCTCCATGACACCAACCTGATCTGAAGGAATGTCTCCCCGTGAGGAATGCGGCTCGGCTGGGGGTGCACAGTGGGGCGGCCGCCAGGTGCTGAGTGAGCCTCACGCCTTCCTCTGCAAGCTGGTCAATATTTGGCGTTCTGGGGAAAGCACACAGAAATCATCGTTGGGAGACATGCATTTGGCTTCAGCAGATCCGTGCTCTGAAAGGCTCAGGAATAGATGCCAGGACTTCGCCAGATTTCAGAATTCATCACATTATGTGCTCCTGTAGAGGCAGATGGACCCCTATCCTAAGTTTGGTTTTGATGTTGAGATGGACGTCTCACACACACACACACACACACACACACACACACACACAGCATATGAGACAATTTATGACCCATAGAATGAGGCTTTCTAGGGAGAGCAGGGCAGGCCTTCCAAACTTGTTTGAAATAAGGAAGCAGAGAAAGAACGTTTATTTTTTTAGTTGTGGTGAGGGTATGAGGTTGGGATAGAGTTCCCATGCAAGGGTGGGGGCTTTTAAGGGCTGACTCTGCCATCAGCACCGAAGGATAAAGTCCCTGTGCATTCTTACCTGCCTGTCCACATGTGGAGCACGGAGAGGTGAGGCCTAAAATCTTTCAGCATCGGATATCAAAAACAGTGAGGCCAGGGGCAGTGGCTCACGCCTGTAATCCCAACACTTTAGGAGCCAAGGCGGGCCGATCACTTGAGGTCAGGAGTTCAAGACTAGCCTGCCCAACATGGTAAAACCCCGTCTCTACTAAAAACAATATAAAAATTAGCCAAGGAAGGTGGTGCACACCTGTAATCCCCACTACTTGGGAGGCTGAGGCAGGAGGATAGCTTGAGCCCAGGAGGCAGAGGTTGCAGTGAGCAGAGATGGTGTCACTGTACTCCAGCCTGGGTGAAAGAACAGAGTGAGACCCTGTCCCCCTCAAGAAGAGCTATACACATGGAATGGAATATATGGAATATTCCTCAGCCACTGCAAGCTGTGAGGCACAGTCTGAGGCTTGCCACCACAGGGCGGGACCCTGAAAACATAGTCTTCTGTGAAACCATTCTGACTTGAAAGACCCTGGGTTAGCCGGGTGCAGTGCCTGTAATCCAGAAATTTGGGAAGCCGAGGCGGGTGGATCATGAGGTCAAGAGATCGAGACCTTCCTGGCCAACATGGTGAAACCCTCGTCTCTACTAAAAAAAATACAAAAATTAGCTGGGCATGGTGGCGTGTGCATGTAGTCCCAGCTACTAGGGAGGCTGAGGCAGGAGAATTGCTTGAAACCAGGAGGTGGAGATTGCAGTGAGCCAAGATTGTACCACTGTACTCCAGCCTGGTGCCTGGTGACAGAGCAAAACTCTGTCTCAAAAAAAAAAGAGAGAAAAACCCCGGGTTATATCATTTCATTCAGATGAAATGTCCCTAACAGGGAGCCTGTGGAGATGGAAAGCAGGTTAGTGGTTGCCACAGGCTGGGGGTTGGGGTGCTGAGTGAGTTGGAGGAATGTTAACTGGGGCTGCCATGACGAAGTCCTACACGCCAGCTAGCTTCAACACCAGTTATGGTTGGGCACAGCAGCTCATGCCTATCATCCCAGCAGTTTGGTAGGACGAGGTGGGTGGATTACATGAGGCCAGGAGTTCGAGACTAGCCTTGGCAACATAGTGAAAATCTGTCTCTACAAAAAATACAAAAACTAGCTAGGCGTGCTGGCCTGTGCCTGTAGTCTCAGCTACTCGGGAGGCTGAGGCAGGAGGATTGCTTTAGGAGATGGACTCCAACCTGGGTAACAGAATGAGACCCTGTCACAAAAAACAAAACAGATAAACAAACCCAGCTGACATTGATTCTCCCGCATTTCTGGGAGCTGGAGGTCCGAGATCAAGGCGTGGGCAGGGCTGGTCCCTCCTGAGACCTCTCTCCTGGGCTCGTGGACTCCATCTTCACCCTGTGTCCTCACACGGTCACCGCTCTATGTGTGTCTGTGTCTTCATGTCCTCTTCTTATGAGGACCCTTGTCCTACTGGATCAGGGACCAGCCTAGTGACCTCATTTTACCTGATCACCTCTGGAAAGACCCAGTCTCCAGATGGAGTCACAGTCTGAGGTTCTGGGGGTTGGGACTTCAATGTAGGAATCTAGGGGACACAGATTAGTCCCGAGCTGAAGGTGATGGCTCGGGGGTACAGTTTCTTTGGGAGTCTGTAAATGCTGTAACATGGTTTGTGGTGAAGGATGCACAACTCTGTGAATAGACTAAAAGTCCCTGAACTGTGCACTGTAAACAGATGGACCATTATGTTCTGTGAATTATAACTGGGCATGCTCAGGCTATTTGAACGGGATCCCTGGACAGAGGGCAGATTGATTGACTGTCTGATCGATTGACTGACTTAGAGATAGGGTCTCACTCTGTGGCCCAGGCTAGAGTGTAGTGGCGTGATCTCAGCTCACCATAAGCTCCACATCCAGGACTCAAGCCATCAGCCTCCAGTGTAGCCAGGACTACAGGCATGTGCCGCCATGCCTGGCTACTTTTTGGTATTTTTCATAGAGACCGGGTTTCGTCATGTTGCCCAGGCTGGTCTAGAACTCCTGTGCTCAAGTCATCCCTCACCTTGGTCTTCCGAAGTGGTGGGATGAGAGGCAGGAGCCACCACGCCCTGCCCACACGGGGCAGACTGCTGCAGGCGCTACACCGTCCACTGCAAAGAAGGGAGGCCTGCTCTGTGGGGGCCGGCCCTGAGGTTGGCAGCTATTAAAAAGCAGATGCAGCCTCCGTTCTGGGTGGTCCTTCTAGGAGAAAAGCCCACCAAATGGAAAAAGGAGGTTTCTCAGCTTTTTTCCACTCAAGCGCTCTGCTGGGAGGGCTGGCATAGAGGCTAGTCTGCGTCTGCCGGTGCCATGGCAGTGAGATGAATGGGGGTCTGTGAACTGACCTGTCCACGTGCTGACCCCCCAAACCTGTGTGCGGGGCCTTGCTGAGAAAAACTGTCTTTGGAGGTGTTATTAGTTAGGTATCCCAAGACGAGATCCTCCTGGTCTAGAGAGGGCCCTAAATGCAATGACCAGTGTCCTTCTAAGAGAAAGAAGAGGAGAGGCAGACAGAGAAGAAGGCCACATGGTGGCGGAGGCAGAAACTGGAGTGGTGGGGCCACAAGCCCAGGGACAGCTGGAGCCCCCAGGAGCTGGGAGACAAGGAAGGATCCTCCCCTGGAGCCGCTCAGGGAGCTCTGTCTGGGTCTTAATCTCCTCTTTTAGTAACCCATATCCGATTAGGGCTCGCCCTAAGGACTTCAGTTTAACTTAATTACCTCTACAAAGACCCATCTCCGAATACTGTCACAGCCCCATCTGGCTTCAACCTACACATTTGGAGGAGGCCAGAATTCGGCCCACAACAGAGTGTCTGCAGACATAATGAAGAGAAGACGATGCTTAGGGCAGGCGGGCCTTGCTGCAGTGACCGGTGTCCTTATCAGACGAGGAGGTTAGGACACAGACAGAGGAGGAGGCCACGTGGAGACGAGGCAGACTGCAGTGAGTGATGTGACCTGACAAGCCCAGGGACGCCTGGAGCCCCCAGGAGCTGGGAGAGGCAGGAAGGAGCCTGCCCTAGGACCCCCAGAGGGAGCCCGGCCCTGCCCACACCTGGATTTGAGACTTCTGGTCTGCAGACCTAGGAGAACAAATTCCTGTTGTTTTAAGCTACCCATTTTGTGGTAAGAATACTTTCACCCGCTTGGCAGTTCTGTGTGGATTAAAAGGGCCCTTTCACCTGTTGGTAAATAATTTTTTGTGGGGTTGGGTTCTGAGGCCCAAAGGACTTTCCTAATTTCTTCGGGCAGGTTTTAAAGGCACCATTCAGTCAGACGGCATGACATCATCACCAATGACAAGAACCAAGTGCACCTCAGCGTTTCGTTGCCATAGCAACCGAGATCCCCAATGCCCAGATCGTCTGCCATGATCAGTAGGATATTTGGTTTAAAGGCATTTGCAGCTTTAGGTTCACAGGTCTTCAGAAGCGAGCAGAAAAGCAGTAGCAGCAGCACGCAGGCCCTGGAGAGAGAAGCAGAGCACAGAAATGACTGTTTACCGTTTGGCACAGGAAGCGGGCATTTCAAGGCAGCTCGCCGAGAGGGCGAAGGTTTTACCACCACATTAAGCATTAAACTTTATGGGAGGTTATCGTCTTGGCCTGAACTGGTGTCCCTGAACCAAACCGAGGGTCAGGCTGCTTCTTCTTGTGGCCCAATAATGAGATGCAGATGAACTGGGAAAGAGGAGAGTTTGTATTTCTGTGAGCAGTTATAGGAGGAAGGCCTGGGAATGATCACCAGACCAACTCAGAATGACAAAGCTTTCCATAGCTCGTATCCTTCTAAGCTATACGTCTAAGTGTAAGTTCGCATTTAACTAAGGCCATCATGGTTCACTTCCTCTGATCTGTAACTCAGGTCTGAGTCCTGAGGACCCTCCTTGGAGCCTCAGTGAATTGATTTAATCTCAGTGGGTCCAGGTGTGGGGTGATTACCCGTAACTTGGCTCCTTTAGTCCCCAATAAAGCTTGTTTGTGAGGGTCTGGGGAGTTCCTTCAGACCCCCAATAAAACTTGTTTAATCCTAAACGGGTCCTGTTGAGAATTCCTTCATTACCTTGTCATGCTTCAAGGCCCAGGAGAGGCCTGGGCACAACTCCTGGTGGGCTTTTGTCACATCCCAGCCTTTGTATAAGGGCGCTGGCTCTTTCAGCTTTTAATATTTAACTTCACCACTTCGTCAGGGCTGAAAGAGTTCTTACGGAGGCCTGCGTTCATGAGACCTGGCTGCCACACTAGACCGCACATATCGGAACAAACTGGAATGCGGTCACTTGTGCTAACTGCCACATCATCAAGCTGAGCGAGGAAACAGGCCGGTTTTCCAAAAAACAGAAGATTCCAGCAAGGAAAAAGAAGATGCCTAGTTCACCTGAGCTAAGAGTCTCCCGTGCTTTAACCCTGTAAGAAAAGTAACTTTGAAACAACCAAACTGCTTTTTAATTTTTTTTTTTTTTTTTTGAGGTGGGGTCTTGCTGTGTTGCCCAGGCTGGAGTGTAGCAGCGTGATCATGGCTTACTGCAACCTCTGCCTGATTCTGAACTGCTTGAATCAATCCTCCCACCTCACCTTCCGGAAGCTGGGACCGCAAGATGTAGTGCACACCACTAAGCCTGACTAGTATTTTTTTTAGAGGTGGGGTCTCACTGTGTTGCCCAGGATTTAATTCTTTATTTTCTGCTTTCTTTGGCTCTTTCTTGCCTACAAAGCCAAGCTCCTCTTCTCAGCTAATGGAAGTACTCATCCTTACTTTATAACCCAATGAGCTGGGGTTACAGGTGTGAGCCAGCGCCCTCGGCCTGTAACTGCAAGATTTAAAGGGTGCCTTGGAAAGGAGTTGCTACCAATGAGGGCCAGGGACAGTCCAGCATCATGTGGAAAGGAGATCCTGGGCTCTCCCGGCTCAGAGCCATCAGGGACACCGGCTCCACGACCTCCTCCCAGCTCCTGTCTCCTCCAGTGTCGCGCTGCTCCAGCTCTAGGGGAGCCTACAGATGCGCGATGGGATGTGGCTTGCTCGTTCCAGGCTGGATCTCCAGCATGTCCAGGAACCCAGCAGGTCGCGGGTTCCCGGGCTGTGCCCTGGAGCGACAGCAGTCGGACAGTGTGGGCATCTGGGTTTCGCTCCGGGAAGCACGGGGCAAGCCTGGCGGCGGGAGGGATTGCGTCTTAGAGTGGGGAGCACCAGGCGGGGTTGGGGCTGCAGGGGACAGGGTCCTGCAGCAGATGGGTGGTGTCATAGTGCTGGGGAATCGTGGGACCGTGGACGAGGGGTGTGTCTCAGGGTGTTTGGGGCTACAGGGCTTTACCGTGGGGCAGAGGAGGAATAAGGCCAGGAGGAGGGGCGCGGTGTGACCAGTAGGACAGTGGGCACGAAAGGGAACAGGATGAGACATGTCTTGGAGAGTGGCGAGAGGGAGGCAGGAGAGTCGGGTGCGGAGGTGGGGAACCTAAGGCGTTCACGCCTACTTGCTAGAACTAAATTGAAAGGAAAAGCCTAACTTTCCTTTTTGTTTGTATTTATTTATTTATTAGACAGAGTCTCGCTTGCGATCTCGGCTCAGTGCAACCTCGGCTTCCTGGGTTGAAGCGATTCTCCTGTCTCAGCCTCTGTAGTAGTTGGGATTACAGGCACACGCCACCATGCCCGGCTAATTTTTTTGTATTTTTAGTAGAGGCCCAGCTAATTATTTTCTTTAGGGATTTCACGATATTGGCTATGCTGGTCTCGAACTCCTGACCTCAGGTGATCCACCTGCCTCAGCCTCCCAAAGTGCTGGGATTAAAGGCATGAGCCAGGCGCCCAGCAGGAAAATCCTAATTTTCCACGCCTAGGCAACAAGAGGAGCAGAGGCTACTCCCTTTGAGCTTTTCTCCTGGGCACATGGGAAAGTGGTGCCTGCAACAAACCAGACTGACTGGAGTCGAGTCTTCACCTGCAACTTCTGACTTCACCCTAAGCCTCTGATAAGTTGCTTTGTGCAACCAGTGAGATGTTTGCACAAGAGTGTGACCTTTGTAAGCTCACTGCAGCCTCTGGCTGTCTACAATCAATCAGACTGGTCGCGGGCCACCACTTCAGTGACGTGGGGTGAGTATGAGGTGGCCATTGGGAAACGTCTAGGGGTTATTTGGGCCCTAGAAGATTCTGTATCGGAGCCCCTGGGCCGCTGCTGGGTGGGCTCCCACACTGTGGCGTGTACTTTCGTTTTCTTTTCTTTTTTGAAATAGATACTATTTATTATTATTTACAGATAAAGTAAAATCAGGTACAGGATTATTAAATAACTTTTCCAAGGTCATACATATGAACAATGATAGAGCCCAGATACAAACCCAGGTAGCCCAGAAAGCTCTTTCCCTAAATAACCACCTGACCCCCTCACCCCTCCAGAAAGTCTTTGTTCACATGATACCTTCCCAGTGAAGCCTAACATGATTTCCCTATTTAAAATTCCAACCCTCAGCCCCAACTCTTCTTTTTCCCTCCCTACTTTATTTTTCTCCATAGTACTTATCACGATCCAATATTTTGTGTGTGTATACACACACACACACACACACACACACAAGCTTTACTGAGATACAATCGTTTTCAATATATCCCTGCTTTCCTTCTTCTGTTGCTTCATTTTGTCCAGTTCTTTGTTCAAAACCCCGAGAACCTGGACAGCGTATAGTCACGACGCTCTCCCGGTGACAACTGGGCGCCAATGGAGCCGGGAAGGCAGGACCCGGCGCATCTTAGGAAACGCAGTGGGGCTGAGCGGTGCTAAGGGTGGGGACCGGAAGGTGGGACTGGGCCAGGGGCAGGACGCGGCAGGGCCGGAGGGAAGTAACAGCTGCACTTCTGCTGGACATGGGGACGGGACAGGGGGTCCTACTGGGTGACGGGGGTAGGCACAGCGGTGCTTGGGGGTCGGGGAGCGGCCAATGAAGCCCACAGGGAGGAAATGGCCGTGTGTTCCGAGCGTGTTGCAGGGAACACAGCTGCACTAGGGAGGACTGGGCCTTGGGGAGTGACGGGGCGCGTCATGCTGGGTGCAGGGGGAGCGGGAGGGCGGGTCTTTTTTCTTTTTTTTGAGACGAAGTTTCGCTCTTGTTACCCAGGCTGGAGTGCAATGGCGCTATCTCGGCTCACCGCAACCTCCACCTCCTGGGTTCAGGCAAGTGTCTTGCCTCAGCCTCCGGAGTAGCTGGGATTACAGGCAAGCGCCACCATGCCCAGCTAATTTTTTGTATTTTTAGTAGAGACGGGGTTTCACCATGTTGGCCAGGATGGTCTCGATCTCTTGACCTCGTGATCACCCCTCTCGGCCTCCCAAAGTGCTGGGATCAAGCCGTGAGCCACCGCGCCCGGCCAAGCGCGTCTTAAGAAGTGGGGCGGGCAAGGCTGCGCTTTGGTGGATGGAGCCTTGGGAATGGACGGGGAGCGGGACCGGGAGCGGAAAGGGGTGCGGTTCGAGTCCGGGCTTAGGGAGCCGGGGAAGGGCGAATTCTGGTCGCGGTGTCTCTGTGGCTGGAAGGCGGAGGACTCGGCGGGGCGTGACCCACGCAGCTTCCACTCCCCCTGGCCTCGGCCTGCCTTGCTCCGCCTTCCCTTCCCTTCCCTTCCTCGTTCCTTCTCTTTCCCGGCCCTTCCACCTTCCCTTCCTTTCAGTCTTCTCCACGCCCCCTCGTCCCTGCAGTCGCCCCCTACCCCTGGGCTCTGGTGTCTTGAGTCTGTCTTGGGCACCCGACCCTCCTCCAGCTACATTTTGGGGACTCCCAGGCGCCGGACTCAGCCACGCCCGTTACGGGGGCCCAGGCTCGCCCGGGGCGCCGCTCCCCGTGCTCGCGACCCCCTCCCCAGGGCCCCACCCTAGGCCTTCGTGTGGTCCGCGTCCCGGGGTCCCTGGCACCTGGCGGCGGGCGCGGCGCGTCCCCTCCGCGCGGCGGATCCCATGGCCGAGCGCTGCCCCGGAGCTCAGGACTTGGCCCCGCGCACTCCGCGCCCGGGCCCCGCGAGTGCCAAGGCCTCGCCCTCGCAGCTGCGGAATCTGGGCCGTGCGCCCGCCCCTCCTTCACCGCGTCACCTCCTGGCGCTCTGAGCCTCTGCGACCTGCGCGTGGAAACAGGTTTTCCTGTCGTCACCTGGGGAGGCCGGGGCTAAGCAGGTGCTGATCAAACCCGGTTAGGATTGGCCGACCGCGTTTGCTCCCGCCTGTAATCCCAGCACTTTGGGAGGCATAGACGACTGGATCATCTGAGATCAGGAGTTCGAGACCAGCCTGGCCAACATCGCGAAACCCCCGTCTCTACTAAAAATAAGAAAATTAGTTGGGCATGGTGGCGGGTGCCTGTAGTCCCGGCTCCTCGGAGGGTGAGGTAGAGAATCTCTTGAACCTGGGAGGCAGAGGTTCAAGAATCTAGCCCAGCTAAATTCCAATTGCTATGTTTATCTTTGTTCTGTTCATCAGACTGCTGCTAGAATTACTCCTTTTGATGAACCGCCATGCACTGGACCCCTCCCCATCTTCTCTGTGACTCACCGTTTTGTTTTTGAATGATGCATTTTTGTTCATTACTCTCTCAGGTAATTCTTTTTTTTGTATTTTGGCGCCCCTTTTATTGTTTGTTTTATTTTCTTTTGAACTCTTTCGACCTCTAGAGAGGTCAAGGCTGAGAGTTGAGGCTGCAGTGAGCCTTGTTTTCAGCTCTCTTGAAATCTAGTCACTGATTCTCTCAAGCCCCTTCACGTCTCACCTCATCCCCTCACATCCCACAGAAAACACAAGATCTGCTCGAAGTATAAGTTCATATTTTGTAGGAAATGCTCACAACCCAGGTGACCCACTTTCCATCAAAGCGGGATGCTTCTTTCCTCTTCCGCTGATCAGGGGCAAAATAATTCCATAGTCTTCAAGTAACAGTACATTCTTCCAAGGCTGAGGCTGTCAAGGGTGAAAACTACTGAGAAAAGAGCCCTGGTTGTGCTTAGGTAAATTCTCTAAACATTCTGAGCTGACTTGGGTGCTCACGATTTGGAAACGGGGCCTGAAGGCAGTAGGAGCTGGTGTTGCCAGAAATCATGTTTCAGGGAGGCTGTGGGGATGGGAAGGGTGGCTGAGCCTTGACCCTGAGGGTCTCACAGGACTTTAGGCACGTGGAGCCTCCATGGGGACTTTGGCTTCAAAGCCATCAGGCTGAAGAGTGTGGACAGGTATGGAGACGGAGGTGCCTCTCCCCAATGGATGCTGAAGAACTTAAACGTGACTCTCTGGGCCGGGGACATCCAGCACAGCTGACCCAACGTGCTGGTCTTCTTCCATAACCATGGCTATCGGGAAACCACAGGGGTGCGCTGCTTCCCTTCCTCCCTCCCCTCCTTTCTTTTTCTTTTTGCTTCTTTCCTTTCCTTCCTTTTCTTTCATTCTCTCTTCCTCCCTTCTTTTTTCCTCCCTTCCTGCCATTTTTTCCTTCCTTTCTTTTTAGAGACGAGGTCTCGCCCTGTCACCCAGGCTAGAGCGTAGTGGCACAATCATAGTTCAGTGCAGCCTTGAACACCTTGGAAGGCCAAAGGCTCAAGTGATCCTCCCCTCTCAGCCTCCCAAATAGGTGGGACTATAGGCATATGCCACCACACCTAATCATTTAAATTTGATGTGGAGCAGGGTCTCGCCATGTCACCCCAGCGGGTCTGAAACTCCTGGCTTCAAGCCATCTTGGTGTCCTAAAGTGCTAGGACTACAGATGTGAACCATTGCATCTGGCTTAGTATTTCTTTCTGTCTTTAACCAAAAGAATTGGCTGGAGATGGATTTGACATTTTTGGTCTCTATGGACAGCTGGAATTCTTGGAGGCTGATGTGGATTGGATAATTTGAAGACACGTTCTTGAGGCAGCGACAAGGTGGGGCATGCCTCATAACATGCCTAGGCTTGAAAGAGTGGAGGAGGTACCTGTTGCTTGAATGTGGAGGTGAAAGAACTGTTGGGAAGACCTCCTGACTCCCAGGAGAGAATGTGTTGGGGACTGAATTGTGTTGCCCTCAAGTTCATGGGAATAAGGTTTCTATTCATCTTTATTAAAATGAGGTCACAAGAGTGGACCCTATTCCAATAGGAGTGGGATTGTTATAAGAAGAGGAGATTAGGGCCGGCATAGTGGCTCACCCCTGTAATCCCAGCACTTTGGGAGGCCGAGGTGGGCGGATCACTTGAGGTCGGGAGTTCCAGACCAGCCTGGCCAACTGCTGAAAACCTGCCTCTACTAAAAAATACAAAAATTATTGCAGGTATGGTGGCACACGCCTGTAATCCCAGCTACTCGGGAGGCTAAGACAGGAGAATTCCTTGAACCTGAAATGGAGGTTGCAGTGAGCCAAGATCAAGCCATTGCACTCCAGCCTGGGCAACAGAGCAAGACTGTGTCTCAAAAAAGAAAAAAAAAAAAGAATTGGAGATGAGGACACAGGCACAGAGGGATGCCCGTGTGAGGACACAGGAAGAAGGTGGCAGCTGTGAACCAGAAACAGCTTCTCCCACACACAGATCCGGCCACACCTGGTCTTGGACATCCAGCCTCTGGAAATGCAAGAAATCAATATTCCTGTTGATACCCGGTTTATGGTACTTTTGTTCTAGCATCGCAGACGTAAAGGCACAGCCTGATTCTGCAGTGACCTTGCAGCCCAGAGCTGAGAATGCCGCCTGTACAGCTCAGCCTCCAAATCTCCAGCTTTCCCCAATCACCCGGGGCATTTGGCACAAAGGAAAAGCACTTGAAAAGAGCCCAGTGGAAAGCTCACTTCCTGCCTGTGGATGGAAATGATAAACAGACACTAGAAACGGGCACCACAAAGTCACTCGGTGCCAGGTTTTATCTTTGGGGCCTATCTTCTGCTCATGTGCAAATCTGTAGGTCACAGAGACACCTTCTCTGGAACTTGTACTGTTTGGGGCTACAAGGCAGCCTCTTCCAGACAGAGCTGGGGTCCATTGATAGAATCCTCCCCCATCCAGGAGATACTTTGCATCTCCAGTTTGGGTGCCTGAGTGACCATTCACCACTGCATTATTAATGTTTATCTATGTATTTATTTTTTAATTTTTTTGGTGAGACATAGTCTTGCTCTGTTGCCCAGGCTGGAGTGCAGTGGTGTGATCTCAGCTCACTGCAGCCTCTGCTTCCTGGCTTCGGGCAATTCTCCTGTCAGCCTTCTGAGTAGCTGGCATTACAGGCGCCCACCAGCACACCTGGGTATTTTTTTTTTTTTTTGATAGAGACAGGGTTTCACCATGTTGCAGGCTGATCTTGAACCCCTGACCTCAAGTGATCCGCCCGACTCTGCCTCCCAAAGTACTGGGATTATAGGCATGAGCCAGTGTGCCTGGCCGATGTTTATTGCTCATTTCTCTTATTCTTGCCTTTCTGTTTTTTGACAGGGAGAAACTATTCATCCTTATGCAAGTAGATGCCTTAACATGATGCTGAAGTTTCTTTCATTTTTTGTTTTCTGTCTTTTTTGAGACAGGCTCTTGCTCTGTTGCCCAGGCTGGGGTGCAGGGGTGCATCATAGCTCAGTGCAGCCTCCAACTCCTGGGCTCAAATGATCCTCCTGCCTTAGCCTCCTGAGTAGCTAGGACTCCAGGCATGTGCCACCATGCCTGCTAATTGTTTTATTTTTGTTTTTGTGGAGCTCGAGTTTCATCATGTTGGTTTTGAACCCCTGGCCTCAAGTGAGCCTCCTAAAGTTCTGGCATGACAGCCAGCATGTGCAGCTGGTTTGTTTGCATTTGAGTGATGAAATTTAGGAATCAGGGCTCCAGCTTTTCATTGCACGTATTTATTGTGGGTCATCTTCCCTAAGGCACCAGCAGAGGGGGAACGGGCCACAGCAGGGCTGCAGCCATGGTCTCCAGAGGTTGCCCAGGCTGTCCAGCTGCAGAGCAACCGGGCTGAGTGTCTGCTGGTGCTCCCACACAGCCTGCTGGACTCGTTCCATCACATGATAGAACAAGGGCTCTGAGGCTGGCGTGAGGACATGGGCCTCAGAAGGGTCTCTTGAGAGGTCAAAGAGCAAAGGTGGATCATGGTGGACTACTTTTTCCCCAGAGCACGGGCAGACCTTTCTTCCGTAGCAGGCACCGGCTCCCTCTGGTTGGAACACTGGGGTCACAAAATGGACTTTCCATAGTGTTCCTCCTGGTGGAAAGACAAGAATTACAGGGTTGGCATAGAGAAATAGGGTGCATTGCTGGAGAATGACATCTTCCTAAGGGCTAAAAGGCAGGAATAACCCAAGCGTCCATCAGTGGATGAACAGATAAAGAGAACATGGTACCTCTGCACAATGGAATACTATGCAGCTATGAAAAGGAGTGAAGCACTGACACAGGCTTCAGCATCGATGAACTTGGAAAATAGTGTGATTCCATTCACATAGAATGCCAAGGACAGGGAAACATAAAGACAGAAAGTAGAGTAGTGGTTTCCAGGGCCTGCTGGGGGTGAAATGGGGAGTGTCTCTTTTGGGGTGATGAGAGTGTTCTGCAGCCATAAACGTGGCAGTTGCACAACATTGCGAAAGTACAAAATGAAAGGGAAGAGGGAAGGAAGGAAAAGAAGAAGGAAAAAGAAAGAAAGAAAAGAGAAAGGAAGAAAGAAAAAGGAGAAAGAAACAGAAAGAGAAAGAAGGAAAAGGAAGAGAGAAGGAAGAGAAAGAAGAAAGAAAAAAGAAAGAGAAAGAAAGATGAAAGAAAAGAGAAAGGAGAGAAAGAAACAGAAAAAAGGAAAAGGAAGAGAGAAGGAAGGAGAGGAGAGAGGGAGGGAGGGAGGGAGGGAGGGAGGGAGGGAGGAGGGAAAAAGATAAAAAGAAGCAGAAAATCCGTAAGGAAAAACCCCCAGTGTCCAGGAAGATCTAGTAAGTGGAAGGCAGGTGGCAGCTGAGCAGAGTCACCCTTAGGGAGTCACTTTGAAAGAGAGGAAGGAGAGATGGTGAATGAGCCCACAGCAGCATCCTGCTGGGCCCTAGGACACTGGGCACCACACTGACTCGGCTGTGTGGCTTCAGCTGCTTTAAGCCAGGTCTGTGATGTTCCTTCCATTGCGTCCTGCTGGAAAGTGAGTCTGGGAGTCATGAGGATAAGAGAGCAAGGGGTTGGCTCGGTGCTGCCATGCTCTCCTCCCTGCAAAAGCGTCTGGCAGTCCCCATGCGCCGAGCAGGCGTGGACACCCAAGAGATGGGCTCAGACAGACAAGCACACTCTGCCTTCCTTGCCATGGCCGGTGGGCTTCAGAACCCCACTCTGAGATCTGCCTCCTGGGAATGGCACCGCTAGGGTTTGATATTTGTGGACGTTCGCTGAGTGATGAAACTCCATGACTTGTGTCCACCCTGTGAGCACTTACAGGGGCTCACTGCTGCCTAGTGACTCTGTTTTCTCACCTGTGGAATGGGCTGGTCACGGTTGTCTGCCAGTTATCAAGGTGAAATAATTTTGCAAGGAGAGGCACAGAACACTGGTGCAAGCCCTCATGAAATGTCAGCGGTGGCGTCATACTGCAGGGAACATGTCCAGCAGCCAGCGAGAAGACAGGTGAACTGTTAGCAGAGGAGATGACCCACACAGGAAAACAGACACAGAAACAAGAAAATCGGCAGGCGCAGTGGCTCATGCCTGTAACCCCAGCACTTGGGGAGTCCGAGGTGGAAGAATTCCCTGAATACAAGAGTGTTTGAGACAAGCCCAAGCAACACAGCAAGACTCCACCTCTATTTAAAGGAAAAAAAAAAAGAGAGAGAAAATCGTGGACAGGTGTAAGTGCTCAGAATTAAGCACAGCGGGTCCGCGCGATTGCTGACGGCTGGTTAACAGTGGAGGTCTGTGTGGGTGCAGTTCGGGGGACTGGTTTTGGTCCCAGAAGCCTGTTTGAGAAGGTAACATTTGACTTAGGGCAGGCACATCAACAGTGAGCCAGCCATGTGGAGGGCCAGTCCTCTGAGTGCATGCCATGTGGTTGGAACTGCTGGTGCAAAGGCCTGAGGCAGGAACAAGATGAGCCTGTCCCCAGATCGCTGGGTATGGGACAGTTGGAACTTGGACATTGCAGAGCTCCGGTTATCAGGACTGAGGTTTCATAGGTAGGGCAGGGCTGGCTTCAGAAATAAGGTGTTCCAAGCTCCCCAGCAGGAATTCAGACTTGCCGTGACCTTCATGCAGATGCACTCAGCAGGCGCAATCACCGGGGGTGAGGAGTGGACTGGGGAGGGCCAGCTAGGGCAGCACTGAGGGTACACAGGCAGGAGGATGCCCTCTCCACCTCCCAACCATCAGAACAATTTATCCAATAGCCAGGAGGAGAAGGACGAGTGATGCCATGATGGGGTCAGTGATCTGAGCTGCTGAGCAGAAGCCATGGGAAGTCAGGCTGTGCTACTGACGGAAAGGTTTAAAAAAACTTCAAAGGCAACATCTATAATATGTAATTTAAAAATCGAAAAATAGTGGAGGCTGAGGCAGGCAGATCACCTGTGGTCAGAAGTTTGAGACCAGCCTAGCCGACATGATGAAACCCTGTCTCTACTACAAATACAGAAATTAGGCTGGTGTCGTGGCTCACACCTATAATCCCAGCTACTAGGGATGCTGAGTCATGAAAATCAGCTGATCCCTGGAGGCAAAGGTTGAAGTGAGGTGAGATCGCACCACTGCACTCCAGCCTGGGTGAGAGCGAGACTCTTGTCTCAAGATAATAAATGAGTGAACGACTGAATGAATGAATAACAAAAAGTGGGCCAGGTTCGAGGACTCATGTCTGTAATCTCAATACTTTGGGAGGCGGAAGCACGTGGATCGCTTAAGCCCAAGAGGCCGAGCCTGGGTGACACAGTGAGATGCCATCTCAATAAATAACAAAAATTTAAAAAATGAAAGTAAATAAAAAACCAAAAATATAGCAATAAAAATAATTCCAGATTAGACTACTAATTGAAAGAAGGCTGGGTGGGGTGGCTCAGGCCTGTAATCTCAGCACTTTGGGAGGCTGAGGGAGGAGGACTGAATGAGCCCAGGAGTTTGAGACCAACCTGGGCAACATAGTGAGACCCCACCTCTACACAAAAGAAAAAACATTTTTTAAAAACAGAAGGGAAAAGAAGAGACAGTAGGTTCAGGGCATTCAAGTGGTTCAAGTTCAACTTATTTTAACAAAGAAAACGAAAAGGAAGAGAGACTAAGAAAAAAAAATCTATTGTAACTCCTTCAAATAAAAGACTGTAAACAATCTTTTTTCGGCCAGGCACGGTGGCTGACACCTGCAATCATAGCACTTTGGGAGGCCGAGGCAGGAGGCTCACCTGAGGTCAGGAGTTTGAGACCAGCCTGGCCAACATGCTGAAACCTGGTCTCTACTAAAAGTACAAAAATTAGGACGGCACGGTGGCTCATGCCTGTAATCCCAGCACCTTGGGAGGCCAAGGCAGGTAGATCACGAGGTGAGGAGTTCAAGACCAGCCTGGCCAAGATGGTGAAACCCCGTCTCTACTAAAACTACAAAAATTAGCCAGGCACAGTGTCAGGAGCCTGTAATCCCAGGTACTCGGGAGGCTAAGGCAGAAGACTCGCTTGAACCCGGGCGGCAGAGGTTGCAGTGAGCCGAGATTGCACCACTGCACTCCAGCCTGGACAACAGAGCAAGATTCTGTCTTAAAAAGGAAAAATTTCAGTCTCGATTCAGACACCCGGGGATACCTACACAATGCCTTTGGGGACTCTTTAGCTGACTGAGTCACAAGAAGGTTACAGATCTTCTCAAATGCTGGAAAAGGCGCAAAGAAAGCCAAGTCCATCAAGCAAGTCCGAGAAAGAGGAAACCATCAGGGCAAAGTCACAGAAAGAGAAGCATGAAGGAGGAGAAGGGAAGCGGGTGAAGTCGGACAGGTGGAACTGTCTGAAGAGTCTGAACACAAACAGAAGCAGAAATCAGTCATTCATTAAATTAAAGAATACCATTGTTAAGTAAATCCAAAGGCTGCATTTTTAAAAAATGACAGAGCATGGCAGAAAGGCCCTGTCAGACTTGATAAACATAGCCATAAATATGCAGGCAATTAAAAGACAATGAATGCCACCCACGATGGCTCACGCCTGTAATCCCAGAACTTTGGGAAGCCGAAATGTGTGGGTGGATCACCTCGCCTCGTTGGGAGTTTGAGACCAGCCCGGCTAACATGGTGAAACCCTATCTCTACTAAAAATACAAAAGTTAGCTGGGTATGGTGGTGCACACCTGTAATGCCAGCACTTTGGGAGGCCGAGGTGGGTGGATCACCTGAGTCAGTAGTTCAAGACCAGCCTGACCAACAAGGTGAAACCCTGTCTCTACTAAAAATACAAAAATTAGCCGAGTGTGGCGGCAGGTGCCTGTAGTCCCAACTACTCGGGAAGCTGAGACAGGAGAATCGCTTGAACCTGGGCAGTGGAGGTTGTAGTGAGCTGAGATCACGCCACTGCACTCTAGCCTGGACGATGGAGGGAGATTCGGTCTCAAAATAATAAATAATAAATAAGTAAATAAATAAGAGACAATGAAGGCCAGGCACAGTGGCTCATGTCTGTAATCACAACACTTTGGCAGGCTGAGGCAAGAGGATTGTAAGAGCTCAGAAGTTCGATGCCAGCCTGGGCAACATAGGGAGACCCCCATCTCTACAAAAAATAAAAAGCTCTCTGCGTGTGATAGCATGCACCTGTAGTCCCAGCTACTTGGGAGGCTGAGGTGGGAGGATTGCCTGAGCCCAGGAGGCAGAGGTTGCAGTGAGCCAAGATCGAAACACTGCACTTCAGCCTGGGCAACAAAGCAAACCCTCTCTCAAAAAAAAAAAAAAAAAAAGACAATGCAATTACTTGGCAAGGGGCCAAGTGCTTGATGAAATGAATAATTTTTAAATAAGTAGAATTAATTAAGCAGAGAAAGGTAGCATATTTCAGTGTGGGAAGACCTAGTATAATAAAGGTAATGAAGCATCAAATGCAAAAATGATTAATATTTCTGTGGAATTTTTCTTTTTTAAACTTGCAAATGATTTCATAGCTCTTTTGACAGGACATTAGAACCAAAAGACCTAGAAGAGTTGGGGAGGCATGTTTAAGTATTCAGTAAGCATGTGTTTGCTTATGTTACAAAGTCGTAATTGTTTACAAAGAAGACGAAATCGTGTTAAGGTCAGAGGGTGAAAACATTTGAAAACACATCTAGATGCACAAATAGAGGACAAAGGGCTGGGAGTGGTGGCTCACACCTGTCATTTCAGCATTTTGGGAGGCCAACAGGGTGGATTGCTTTAGCCCATGAGTTTGAGACCAGCCTGGGCAACATACTGAGACCTTGTTTCAATTTAATAAATAAAAATTGGAGGCCAGGTGTGGTGATTTACGCCTGTAATCCCAGCACTTTGGGAGGCCGAGGCAGGTGGATCACTTGAGGCCAGGAGTTCGAGACCAGCCTGCCCAACATGGTGAAACCCCATCTCTACTAAAAATACAAGAAACTAGCCAGGGGTGGTGGTGGGCACCTATAATCCCAGCTACTCAGGAGGCTGCTTGAACCTGGGAGACTGCGGCTGCAGTGAGCCAAGATCATGCCACTGCACTCCAGCCTGACCAACAAAGAAAGACTACTCCCCAAAAAATAATTACAAAAAATAAGAAAAAGGGAGACTAGAAAAGTCTTGAACACGTGTGTGCAAGCGTGTGTGTGTGCATGCACATATGTGTGTGTGATGATAAAAGGTGCACTTCACATCGTGCACAGAAGAAGGAAAAAAAGCCCATCCATGGTGGTTAAACTGTAGCTAACAATTCCCTCCCTTCCCTTCATTTTAAGATGATTGACAGGTGATCTTAGAAGGCATGTAGCTGGCATAAGAGGGACACATATTGAGAAAAACTAAATGTAAAAAGCTCATGGAGAAAAACGGAAGTGTGAGACATGGAGCTGGAGATGGACTCTGGAATGCAAGTCCTCCTCCAGCCTGTTCTAGGCCTGCTGCTTTCCTGCACTGAGGGACTCCTCCCTGAAGGGTGTTAGGAAGAGGCTCCCCTACTCACTGTCCCGTTGATGCCACCTGGCTGCGTGCAGAAACCTCTCACAGTAATGCATCAGGAACTCGTGGTCTGAGTGCTGGGCTGTTCCCAGGAGCAAAGGCAGAAGGTCCCGGCCATCAATCACTCTGCAGGAAGGAACATGGTGGGGCTCAGGGATGGGACAGGGACTTCAGACATTTGTCCCTCCAGCATCCACCAGCTCCAGCCCAGTTGCTGCACTCTCCTTATGTTGTATCAGTGGAGGGAAGGTCCGGCTGTGGACACGGACGGATGGAAGGCATGTGTGTGTTTTAGCGCACTTAGAAGCGGCATGCAGCAGCTACCCACATCAGTCACTACCAAACGTCACCTTTGGCTCAAAAGGAATTAACTGGCTGGATGCAGTGGCTTACGCCTGTCATCCCGGCACTTTGGGAGGCCAAGGAAGGTGGATCACTTGAGGTCAGGAGTTCGAGACCAGCCTGGCCAACATGGTAAAACCCTGTCTCAACTAAAAATACAAAAATTAGCTGGCTGTGGTGGCGGGTGCCTGTGATCCCAGCTACTCAGGAGGCTGAGGAAGGAGGATCGCTTGAACCCAAAAGGCAGAGGCTGCAGTGAGCCTAGATTGCACAACTGCACTCCAGCCTGGGAGACAGAGCGAGATTTGGTCTCAAAAAAACAAAAAAGAAAAGAAAAGAAAAAGGCTGAAATAGCCAGCGCCCTTATACAAAGGCTGGAATGTAACGAAAGCACACCACGAGTTTTTCCCAGGCCTCTCCTAGGCCTTGAGCATGACAAGATAATGAAGGAGTTCTTAACAGGACCTGTTTAGGATTAAACAAGTTTTATGGGCCGGGCATGGTGGCTCACGCCTGTAGTCCCAGCTACTCAGGAGGCTGAGGTAGGAGAATTGCCTGAACCCAGGAGGCAGAAGTTGCAGTGAGCCGAGATAGCGCCATTGCACTCCAGCCTGGGTAACAAGAGCGAAACTCTGTCTCAAAAAAAACAAAACAGAACAAAACAAAACAAGTTTTATTTGGGGTCTAAAGAAACTCCCCAAACCTCCATGATTTAGTAGGAAACAAGATAAGGGTAATCACCCCAGCACCTGGACCCAACTAGATTAAATGAATTTACTGAGGCTCCAGAGGAAGGGCCTCAGGACTCAGACCTTAGTTACAGATTAAAGGAAGTTAAATCACTATGTCTTTAGATGAACACAGTCTTACACATGGATGTACAGGTTAGACGGCATTAAGCTCTGGAAAACTTGGTAATTTTGAGTTGGTCTAGTGATCATTTCCAGACCTTCTCCCTGTACCCGCTTACAGAAATAAACTCATTTATTTCCCAGTTCATCTGCATCTCCTTACTGGGCCATGAGAAAAAGCAGCCCGACCCTCGGTTTCGTCCGGGAACAATTTCATAGACCCCTTACTGCAACGGCGAAGTGACGTTTTCATTTGCCGTAAGTGTTGCTGTGTCTGTTGAAAGCTGTTTGGATCGTTAGGTACCTGTCCTGGGGCACCTCACCGCCGGCAAGCTGCACCACGGTAGGAAACACGTCCATCAGGCTCGTGGGCTCGCCGATCACTCGGCCAGCCGGGAGCACCCCGGGCCAGCGGAAGATCCCGGGCACACGGATTCCACCTTCCCATCCTCCCATGCCCTTCCCCCCTGTGTTGGAACAGAAACAAAAGAAGCTGGTTAAAACCGAGAAACGGATGCTCAGCCGGGGTGATTTCACCTGTCTGGACGTTTCTCTCTCCCGGAGTCTCTCAATTTCTGTCTGTCTGTCTGTCTGTCTGTCTCTCTCTCTCTCTCTCCCTCTCTCTCTCTCTCTCTCTCTCTCTCTCTCTCTCTCTCTCTCTCTCAATCTCTCTCTCTCTCTCTCTCTCGGTCTCTCTGTTTTGGTGACATTACAACATTCAATCTCATGTAGTTCTCCTGGCAGAGGATTGATCTCGTATTTGTTATTAACCTTGTTGTTGGTTAGTGTGCATTGGATTAAGTTGGGTCCTTCACTGCAAATGACTCTTGCCCTTATAAGAGGAGGTAGAGACACAGAGGAGGAGGCCACATGGAGACGGAGGCAGAGATGAGTGATGCAGCCACAAGCCAGGGATGCCTGGCGCCCCAGGAGCTGGGAGAGGCAGGAAGGACCCTCCCCTGGAACCTCAGGAAGAAAGTGGATACAACTGCAATGTGTTGAATGGTGACCCAAAAACATGTTCCTGTCATATCCCCCAGAGCCTATAAATGAGACTTTATTTAGAAATAGGGTGTTTGCAGATATAATCAAGTTAAGGACTTTGAGATCATCTGGGATTAGGGTGGCCCTAAATGCAATGGCAGGCATCCTTCTAAGAGAAGAGGAGACACAGACACAGAGGAGAAGGCTATGTGGAGGCAGAGACTGCAGTGATGCACCCAGAAGCCCAGGGATGCTGGAGCCCCAGGAGCTGGGAGAGACTGGGAGGATCCTCCCCTAGAGTTTCTGGAGAGAACATTTCCCTGACACAGCTCGATCGCAAACTCCTGGTCTCCAGGACCAGGAGAGGATAAATTCCTATTGTTTAAAGCTCCCCCAGTTTACAGTACTGACATTCTTCATGGTACAGAGAACCAGATTGGGTACAGGATACATCAATGGCAACGAGATAAAGAAGGTTTCTGAGGCGTCGGGCCCTCAATGTGAAGACATTTTGGGAAGGCATTAATGGATGTGCTTGGCATTTATATTTCCACTTTTACATGTGTCCTAGACTGATGTGCACGTCTACTAGAGAGCAAACGTCCGTCACAGGTGTATTTGCCAACATTAGCCCAAAAAGTCTCTTTCAGTGAATGAAAACTAAACCTCTCAAGGCAGGAAGATGACACGAAGTCATGTACACTGGGCAGCACGTTTTAGAATCTTTGTGGCACATGAAATGATGGCGTGATTTAAAAAATGGAATCCCGGTATGAATATCATGTGGCCAGTTGGATGTCTACCTTTCTTTTTTTTTTTTTTTTGAGCCAGAGTCCTACTCTGTCACCCAGGCTGCAGTGCAGTGGCACAATCTCAGCTCACTGCAACATTTACCTCCCAGGTTCAAGCAATTCTCCTGCCTCAGCCTCCCTAGTAGCTGGGATTGCAGGCATACACCACCACATCCAGCTAATTTCTGTATTTTTAGTAGGGACAGGGTTTCACCATGTTGGCCAGGCTGGTGTCAAACTCCTGACCTCAAGTATTCCATCTGCCTTGGCCTCCCAAAATGCTGGGATTACAGGCATGGGCCACCGTTCCTGGCCTCCAAAATCCTTTATCTTAACCCAGACATTCCCTTCTATTGATCCCAGGAAATGTTTAAATCTCCATATAAGCTGGAAGCCGCCCAGCTTTGAGTTGTCCCGCCTTTCTAGACCCAACGAATGTGTCCCTTAAATGTATTTGATCCATGTCTTATGCCTTCCCAAAATGTATAAACCAAGCTACACCACGACTGCCTTGGGCACATGTTCTCAGGACCTCCTGAGGACTGTGTCACAGGCCATGGTCACTCATACTTGGCTCAGAATAAATCTCTTCAAATGTTTTACAGAGTTTGGCTCTTTTCATCAACATGATGATGGTTACACAACTCTGATAATCTACTAAAAACTCCTTAATTGTGCACAAAAACGTGGCAGCCACGTCTCACTAACACGGGCCTCCGTAACAACTGTTTCAGCCCTGACCAGGTGGTGAAGTTAAATATTAAAAGCTGAAAGAGCCAGCGCCCTTATACAAAGGCTGGGATGTGACAAAAGCCCACCAGGAGTTGTGCCCAGGCCTCTCCTGGGCCTTGAAGCATGACAAGGTAATGAAGGAATTCTCAACAGGACCCGTTTAGGATTAAACAAGTTTTATTGGGGGTCTGAAAAACCTTCCCAAACCTCCGTGATTTAGCAAGAGACATGGTAAGGGTAATCAGCCTTGGCACCTGGACCCATTTATTTATTTATCTATTTTTGTTGTTGTTGTTGAGACGGAGTGTCTCTCTGTTGCTTAGGCTGGAGTGAAGTAGTGTGATCTCGGCTCACTGCAACCTCTGCCTCCCAGGCTCAAGCGATTCTCCTGCCTCAGCCTCCCGGGTAGCTGGGACTACTGTTATGTGCCACCACACCTGGCTAATTTTTGTATTTTTAGTAGAGACAGAGTTTCACCATGTTGACCAGGTTGGTCTCGAATTCCTGACCTGAGTGATCACCTGAGTGGTCTGCCCGCCTCAGCCTCCCAAGTGCTAGGATTACAGGCGTGAGCCACGATGCCCGGCCACCTGAACCCACTTAGATTAAGTCAATTTACTGAGGCTCCAGAGAAGGTCTTCAGGACTCAGACCTTAGTTAGAGATTAGAAGTTAATGACTAATGTCTTTAGATGTGTGCACACTTACACGTACACACACAGATTGGAAGGTGGAGAAGCTCAGGAGAACTTTGTAATTTTGAGTTGGTCTGGCAATAATGTCCAGGCCTTCTCCCTGTAACCGGTTATAGAAATAAAGTCCCTCCTCTCCCAGTTCATCCGCATCTCATTTTTGGGCCACCAGAATAAACAGCCCAAGCCTTGGTTTGGTACGGGAAGGAAAATTCAACCTAGAGCATGACGAATTATCACTTTTACCCTGGACAGAAAAAACCAATATCCATGAGCAACAATACTGACCCTCCTGGGAATTGCAGGGAAGAGATAAAGCTGCAAGGTCAGGATCCAGGAGTGCCCCAGCCTTACCTTTATAAATTCCATTCCAGCCGCCATACTGGCTGTTTGCAAACTGATTCTCCAGGGATCCCCCGTGATCTGATGCAAAATAAATGAGGGTGCTGTTGGTCAAACCTTCTGTGTCCAAAGCATCAAGGATCTGTCCTGCAAAGAACAGATGTTTTTGAGGCCGTTGAAATAGAAAAATATCAGAAATGCAGCTATGAAGTATGTGCTTTAGCATCTGGGGGCCATCCGCAAGAATGAATCCTGTTTTAATGTGTAACAGGAGCCAGCTGTTGTATAATTTTGCTGTCCTTTGCTGTAGATCGACGTATGACTTTATACACACCCCATCCTTTGGTCAGAGTTTCAGGTAACCTACAAGGACAAAATATCAAAAACTTAAAAGTGTGGCATGTAGGTGGGCGTGGTGGCTCACGCCTGTAATCACAGCACTTTGGGAGGCCGAGGCAGGCGGATCATTTGAGGTCAGGAGTTGGAGACCAGCCTGGCCAACATGGTGGAATTACATCTCTACTAAAAGTACAAAAATTAGCCGGGAGTGGTGGCACATGCCTGTAGTCCCAGCTAGTTGGGAGGCTGAGGCAGGAGAATCACTTGAACCCAGGAAGTGGGTTTCCAGGAGCCAAGATGGTTCCATTGCACTCTAGCCTGGGTGACAGAGTGAGGCTCTCTCGTTCTCGTTCTCAAAAAAAAAGTGAGGCATGTGAACGTTACAGAGAAGAATGTATAGGCTGAACATGCAGACCAGTTCCCAGTGGTGACACTGAGCTTCCTGCAGCCACACACAAGGGAACTCATGTAACTGATGTCACTCACAGTTGGCCGGGCACAGTAGCTCATGCCTGGAATCTCAGCAGTTTGGGAGGCTGAGGCGGGAGGCTCATTGAGCCTATGAGTTTGAGACCAGCCTGAGCAACATAGCGAGACCTCGTCTCTACAAATAATAAAAAAATTAACCAGCTGTGGTAGTGTGCACCTGTGGTCCAAGCTACTTGGGAGGCTGAGGTGGGAGGATGGCTTGAGCCTGGGAAGGCAGGGTGCAATGAGGCACAGTTGCACCACTGATTCCAGCCTGGGTAAGAGGGAGACCCTGTCACACACACACACAATTAACTTTTTCTCCTTCCATGCCTAGCTTGTTGAGCAAAGAAAAAAAAATGTAAATACATCTTTCATCCAAATCTCTGATGGCAATTATTCTGAGCATCCTGGAATTCTCAGCCCACCACCACCTAAACCCAGGGGTTCCTTAGTTCTTTTCTGGGAGGCAGGGATGTGCTGTGCCCATATCCTCACCCAGCCCCGACTCACTCAAGCATTATTCCCCTTCCATTCTGTTCTAAACACAGGAAATACAATGAGGGAATGAGACAAGACAATCCAGACCCACAAGAGTTTATATTCTCCTGGGGGAAAATGGAAAATCAAGCTACCTAACACATGGTCATGAAGAGAAAAAAATGGTGCTACTGTGTTAGGAAACAAAGAAGGAGGATGAAGAAGAGGAGGAGGAGGAAGAGGAGGAGGAGGAGGAGGAAGAGGAGGAGGAAGAGGAGGAGGAGGAGGAAGAGTAGGAGGAAGAGGAGGAGGAGGAAGAGGAGGAAGAGGAGGAGGAAGAGGAGGAGGAGGAAGAGGAGGAGGAAGAGGAGGAAGAGGAGGAGGAGGAAGAGGAGGAGGAAGACAAGGAGGAGGAAGAGGAGGAAGAGGAGGAGGAGGAAGAGGAGGAGGAAGAGGAAGAAGAGGAGGAGGAGGAAGAGGAGGAGGAAGAGGAGGAGGAGGAAGAGGAGGAGGAAGAGGAGGAGGAAGAGGAGGAGGAGGAAGAGGAGGAAGAGGAGGAGGAAGAGGAGGAGGAGGAGGAGGAAGAGGAGGAGGAAGAGGAGGAGGAGGAAGAGGAGGAGGAAGAGGAGGAAGAGGAGGAGGAGGAAGAGGAGGAGGAAGAAGAGGAGGAGGAGGAGGAGGAAGAGGAGGAAGAGGAGGAGGAGGAAGAGGAGGAGGAAGAAGAGGAGGAGGAGGAGGAGGAGGAAGAGGAGGAGGAAGAGGAGGAGGAAGAGGAGGAGGAAGAAGAGGAGGAGGAGGAAGAGGAGGAAGAGGAGGAGGAAGAGGAGGAGGAGGAAGAGGAGGAGGAAGAGGAGGAGGAGGAGGAGGAAGAGGAGGAGGAAGACGAGGAGGAAGAGGAGGAGGAAGAGGAGGAGGAAGAGGAAGAAGAGGAGGAGGAGGAAGAGGAGGAGGAAGAAGAGGAGGAGGAGGAAGAGGAGGAAGAGGAGGAAGAGGAGGAGGAGGAGGAAGAGGAAGAAGAGGAGGAGGAAGAGGAGGAGGAAGAGGAGGAGGAAGAGGAGGAGGAGGAAGAGGAGGAGGAGGAAGAGGAGGAGGAGGGGGAGGCGGAGGAGAAGAAGAACAGGAAGAAGAAGAAGAGGGGAGGAGGAGAAAGGTGAAAGAGGAGGAGGGGGAGGAAAACAAAGGCAAAACAGAAAAGGGACCTCAGGAGAATGGGAGAGAAGATGATTGGGGCAGCGCCACTTTAGGGCGCTTCAGGGCAGGCTCTGAAGAGAAGACAGCGAAGCCTAAGGAACCATCTGGGGAGGGAACAGCAGGTCTACAAGCCTGTGCAGGGGACAAATGTGAAAGATACTGTGTGGCGTCCACGTGGCCAGAATGCAGCAGCAGGTGGGGAGGACAAGGGCAGAGGTCAGAGTAGGATCTGGGCAACAGCAGGTCACGGGGCTGTTGGTGACAGGAGGAAATTTAGTCCTACTTTCAGTGCAGTGGAGCCACTGCACTCTACAGCTGAGAAAAATCTTACCTGATCTTTCTTTCATTTGTGTACCACATGGCATTAGGATGTGGACATCTTTGGGGCCAAAATTCTGGGAATGCCACTTGGGAATTAAGACGTGGAAATCTCTGGGGCCATTATTCTGTCTCCCACATGGGGATCAGAAAGTGGCTCTTTGGGGCCATTTTTCTGTCTATCACATCAAGATTAGGACGTGGACGTCTTTGCAGCCATTATTCTGTCTTCCACATGAAGAATAGGGAGTGGACAGCTTTGGGGCTCTCATTCTTTCTGCCACATGGGATTAAGATGTGGACCTCTTTGGCCAAATCGCATTGCCTCCCATGCACATTATGGAATTCGTCCTCTGCGAATGGACTGAAGATTCGTGCTGTAAGATTTCAGACTCTTAAAACCCAGTCTCACTGCAATCGTGATTCTGCAACTTCTGTCTTTAACCTTTTCGCTGTTTCCTTTCCTGCTTCTGTTGCTGGATGGGGAGCAGCTCCTTTCTCCTGGAAGGGCACTTACCTACCATCCAGTCCATCTCCTCCACGTTGTCCCCGTACAGCCCGTGGGCACTCTTCCCGAGGAAGTTCTTCGTAGTGATAAGAGGGATATGGACGTGCAAAAAGGAAACAAGGAGGAGGAAAGGCCCAAGCTTATTCCTGAAAACAAATACAACAGATATTGAAACACGGATCTCACTTGTCACAACCTTGCTCATGTCTTCTCAACTCTGCTCACTAAAAAGAAATGCTCAAAACCCTTCAACAGGAAAATACTCTTCTGTTTAACATTCCTTTTTTAGGAGGATTCTCCTGTCTTAATAGTCTTTCCTTTTTTTAGAGATGGCGTCATGCTCTGTTACCCAGGCTGGAGTGCAGTGACACAATCGCAGCTCACTGCAGCCTCAATCTCCCAGGCTCAAGTGATCCTCCCACCTCAGCCACCCAAGTAGCTGGGGCTACAGGCATGTGCTAACAGGCCCAGCTTTTATTTATTTATTTATTTTGGTAGAGACAGGATCTCACTATGTTGATTAGAGTGGTCTCAAATTTTTCAGCTCAAGTGACCTGCGTATCTCAGCCTTCCAAAGTGCTGGGATTACAGGCATGAGCTACGATGCCTACCTGGTCTGTTTAAGACTCTTTTTTTTTTTTTTTGAGATAGATTCTGGCTCTGTTGCTCAGGCTGGGGTGGAGTGGCATGATCTCAGCTCAAGCAATTCTCCTGCCTCAGCCTCCTGAGCAGCTGAGATCATAGGCGTGTGCCGCAACGCCTGTCCTGTTTAACACTCTTTTAACATCGTGACTTTTCCCTTCTGAAATCTTTTTAAAAATCCACACTGGGCCCAGCGTGGTGGCTCCCACCTGCAATTCCAGCATTTTGGGCGGCTGAGGCGGGAGCATTGCTTTAACCCAGGAGTTGGAGACCAGCACGGGAAACATAGCAAGACCCCATCTCTACTAAAAATACAAAAATTAGCAGGGTGTGGTGACGTGCACCTGTACTTCTGACTACTCGGGAGGCTGGACGGGAGGATTGCTTGACCCTTGGAGGAGGAGGTTGCAGTGAGCTGAGGTTGTGCCACTGCACTCCAGCCTGGACAAAGGGAATGAAATCCTACCTCATAGTAAATAAATAAATAAAAACCCAAACTGATTTAATGCATCTTTTTTCCCTGAATATTACAGTGTTCTAACTCTACGTACTTCAGACAATGCAAAGTTAAAAGAACAGCAGGTTACTGTCTGACGTGACTTTTATTTTGTTCAATTTTCTTTATAACTGCTATCACGTAGTGAGGAGTAGGACATAAAATATTTATGAAAAAAGATACTTAAAAAGGAGACACTTTAGACAATATTGTTTAAAAACAATTGATATTGTTCAAATTGTCCTCCTAGAAAGCTTTGTCCTCCTCCTTCCACCTGGTCTTCATGCTCTAATCTTGATCCTGAAAGCATAAGAGCAATGGTGAAGGTGTTAGCCTCAATCAGAACACATCAGGCTGGGCGTGGTGTCTCATGTCTGTAACCTTAGCACTTTGGGAGGCTGAGGCAGGAGGATCGCTTGAGCCCGGGAGTTCAAGACCAGCCTGGGCAACATAGCCAGATCCAGTCATATTAAAAAACAAAAAGAACACGACAGTCTTACCTGCTTTAATTTGCAAGCTGTCAGTGCCCTTTCTGTCATACATTAGGTAATTCCATGAAAAACTCTCTAAGAGACTGGCTGTGGTAGCTCACGCCTGTAATCCCAGCACTTTGGGAGGCCAAGGTGGGAGGCTCTCTTGAGGCCAGGAGTTCGAGACCATCCTGGCCAATGTGGCGAAAACTCGCCTCTACCAAAAATACAAACATATGCCTTTAGTCTCAGCTACTTGGGTGGCTGAGGCACAAGAATCACTTAAACCTAGGAGGTGGAGCTTGCAGGAAGCGGAGATCACACCACTGCATTCCAGCCTGGGCAACAGATTGAGACTCGGTCTCAAAAAAATAAAAATAAAAGAACGCTCTAAGAATGTTGTAGGAGGCCAGGCATGGCAGCTCACACCTGTAATCCCAGCACTTTGGGAGGCCGAGGTGGGTGGATCACTTGAGGTCACAAGTTTAATACAAGCCTTGTCCAATAGGGAGAAACCTGTCTCTACTAAAAATACAAAAATTATCTGGATGTGGTGGTGCACGCCTATAATCTCAGCTACTCGGGAGGCTGAGGCAGGAGAATTGCTTGCACCCAGGAGGCTGAGGTTGCAGCGAGTCAAGATCACACCATTGCACTCCAGCCTGGGCCACAGCTCAAGATTCTGTCAAAACAAACAAACAAACAAAAAAAAACTCTCTAAGAATGTTGTAGGAGGCCAAGTGTAGTGGCTCACACCTGTAATCCCAGCACTTTGGGAGGCTGAGGTGGGCGGATCATGAGGTCAGGAGATCAAGACCAGCCTGGCCAACATGGTAAAACCCATCTCTACTAAAAATAAAAAAATTAGCTGGGTGTGGTGGTACGTGCCTATAATCCCAGCTACTTGGGAGGCTGAGGCAGGAGAATCACTTGAAGCTGGGAGGTGTAGGTTGCAGTGAGCCGAGATCGTGTCACTGCACTCCAGGCTGGCAACAGAGCAAGATTCTGCCTCACAAGAAAACAGAATTGTAGGAGATGATGACAACCTCATTGTCAACAGGCAAGGTGACTTTTGACTTTTGATGGTGTCACCATCTTTACTAGAATACGCTTGGGGAGCATGAAAATAACCCCGTGCAGCATTAAGACCTTTTTCCGTCCTATTTCTCCTGGTCTGACGTAGGAAGCTTCCTTGCCATAGAATTTACTGCAGGCTAAATTCTGCCATAGGACGTCTGACTTCTGATGATGGGGGCCTTAGAAATAGAAATTCCATTTGACCCAGCAATCCCATTACTGGGTATATATCCAAAAGACTATAAATCGTTCTACTATAAGGACACATGTACATGAATGTTCATTGCAGCACTGTTTACAATAGCAAAGACCTGGAATCAACCCAAATGCCCTTTGATAATAGACTGGATTGGAAAAATGTGGCACATATAAACCATGGAATATTATGCAGCAATCAGAAATGATGAGTTCGTGTCGTTTGTAGGGACATGGATGAATCTGGAGAACATCATCCTCAGCAAACTGACACAAGAACAGAAAATGAAACACCGCATATTCTCACTCATAGGCGGGTGATGAAAAATGAGAACACATGGACACAGAAAGGGGAGTACTAAACACTGGGGTCTATTGGGGGGAAAAGGGGAGGGCCAGTGGGAGGGGGAGGTGGGGAGGGATAGCCTGGGGAGAAATGGCAAATGTGGGTGAAGGGGAGAAGCAAAGCAAAGCACACTGCCATGTGTGTTCCTACGCAACTGTCTTGCATGCTCTGCTCATGTACCCCAAAACCTAAAATCCAATAAAAAATTAAAAAAAAAAAAATAGTGTCCGTGGTGTTCTGAGGGAATAAAACCCCAGAGTAGCAGCAAATTCCAGCTGACCTGTAACAATTTCTCTTTGAGACAAGGCCTTGCTCTGCCGCCAAGGCTACCTTCATAGCCTCACACACAGCCGCAGCCTCTGGGCCTCAAATCATCCTCTTGCCTCAGTCTCTGGAATAGCTGGGATAACGGGTGTGCACCACTATGCCCAGCTCAGCCGTAACAGTGTATTAATTGCCACAAGGCTAGTCAGAGGGCTCCACTGCCCCTCATCTATGACCCAATCTTACCGAAAAATGGTTTTGGTCATGGCTATCCCAGTCAAAGAAGACTTTTTTTTTTCTCTTTTTTTAATACAGGGTCTCCCTGTGTCACCCAGGCTGGAGTGCAGTGATGTGAGCTGACCTCACTGCAACCTTCACCTCCTGGGTTCAAGTGATTTTCCCACCTCAGCCTCCCGAGTAGCTGGGATTACAGGCATTCATCACATAGGGCTAAATTTTGTATTTTGAGTAGAGACGGGGTTTCACCACGTTAGCCAGGCTGGTCTTGAACTGCTGACCTCAAGTAATCCTCCCACCTTGGCGTTTGAAAGTGCTGGGATTACAGGAATGAGCCACCGAGCTTGACTGAAGAAGACTATTTAGGATTTGTTTTCATCCCAAAGCCGAGTGGTTGGAGGAAGCTGACCCTTTTCTGCTGACCTTTTGAGAAAGGACTTGACCTCCTGCAGAATAAGGGGCGTGACTCTTTGGAAACGCATGGGCTGCTCCGTGATGGTGTGGTTTCGCATCAGAAAGCAATCGGCATGCACAATTAGAGCACCCGCAAAATAGGAGGTTGTGAGGAGGAAGACCGCCAAGAGGGCTGACCAGATGACTGGCATCCAGGAGATGGATATCAGGTGCATGAACTTTCCTGCTGCCAGTGTGAGCGTGACCAAGGCCAGGACTTGGAAGAGGAAGTTGAGTTTTTGTTCCAGGTCGACACGCTTCTCCGAGAGTTCCCAGTGGGCACAGTCACCCGTCATGGACAAAGGCATTCCATAGAAATAGTCAAAGCCATGGTGGAGGGGGTGGTGGCAATGATCGCCGGCTGACTCACAGTTGAGACCCAGATGCCATTTTCCTGAGAGGCAAAAAGGATATTGATGTGACAAGCATCGGAGCATAACTGGACATGTAGATATCAACTGTTTATCACATTCTCGATTCTCTGTTAGACACTGGAGGGCCGGGAGATTACGGAGAGGTGCGGGCAGCATTAGCTGTTATTTGCAACACAATCTGGCCCCATGTGGCAGCTTTAGCCAAAATATGAGTTACCTGTCACAGGTGGAACAAATTACTGTAAAACTGTTTGCTTAACACAACAGAAATTTATCCTCTCCCAGTCCTAGAGACCAGGAGTCTGAGATCAAAGGGTCTCTGGGCCAGACTCAAATCGGAGGCTCTAGCGGAGGCTCCTTCCGGCATCTCCCAGCTCCTGAGGGCTCCAGGCATCCCTGCACTAGGGGCTGCATCACTGTGGTCTCCGCCTCCATGTTTCCGTGACACTGTCCTCTTATGTGTGTCTGTGATCTAATCTCCTGTCTTATAAAGACAGCAGTCCTTGCAGGAAGGCCCACCACAGGGGCCGCATCTTTATTTGATTATATCTGCAGTGAGTTTATTGTCAGCTGAATCCTGGCCTGCCTCTAATTCATGGGTTGAAGCTCTAAGCCCCAGGACCTCAGGATGTGACTGTATTTGGAGACAGGGGGTTCAAAGAGATAATTAAGGTAAAATGATGTCATTAGTTTGGGCCCTGATATGGTGTGGCTGTGTCCCCACCCACATCTTACCTTGAATTGTAATAATCCTCATGTGTGAAGGGCAGGGCCAGGTGGAGATAATTGAATCATGGGGGTGGTTTCCCTCATGCTGTTCTCGTGGTAGAGAATAAGTCTCACAAGACCTGATGGTTTTATACATGGGCGTTCCCCTGCACATGCTCTCTTGCCTGCCACCGTGTAAGACATGACTTTGCTCCTCCTTTGCCTTCTACCATGATGATGAGGCCTCCCCAGCCATGTGAAACTGTGAGTCCATTAAACCTCTTTTCTTTATGATTACCCAGTCTCAAGTATGTCTTTATTAGCAGCCTGAGAACAGACTAATACAGGGTCTAATCTGATAGAATTTGTGTCCTATATGAAGAGGATATAGGACACAATCAGACTAATACAGGGTCTAATCTGATAGAATTTGTGTCCTATATGAAGAACACAGACATATACATACTCTCTCCAGAGGCTCTAGGGGAGGATACTTCCTGCCTCTCCCAGCTCCTGGGGGCTCCAGGCATCCCTTGGCTTGTGGCCACATCACTCCAATTACAACTGCTTTCTCCTCTCTGTGGCCCAATCTTCCTCTACCTTCATCTTAAACGAAGTCTTGTCCTTGCACAGTGGGCCCAGCTGTATAATTCAGGATCATCTTCCCACCTCAAGATTGTTAATCACATTTACAAAGAGTCTTTTTTGCATATAAGCTAATATTTGCTAGATTCAGAGGTTAGGGGCTGACATCTCTGGGGATCATTATTTAGTCTATTGCATCTTGTTTTGCAGGGCAATGATGAAGGCCAGAAAGCACCATGTGATACCATCAGCATGGGCAGAAGACTTCTTGACTTTGGAATTATTCTCTTTGATAAGCCACTGTGACACTGGCCATGGCTGAAGTGAATGGTGGGTTTCGCAATGCATTCCTTTCAAAGTCAGTCAAAGGAATATAGCCTTTGCTTCTATGCGGTCACTACTCCACTGTTGAGAAAGAGATGTGTGTGTCTTCTTACCATCCCAATTCTGTCTGCCATCTGGAAAACCTCATGATTTCCCAATGAATAACCCATAAGGATAGATTCTTCTGTCTTAGAAAAATTATAGTTGGCCAGGCATGGTGGCTTGCAACTATAATCCCAGCACTTTGGGAGGCTAAAGTGGGAGGATTGCTTGAGCCCAACAGTTTGAGACCAGCCTGGGTAGCATGGGAAGACCCTGTTTCTCCAAAAAAAAAAAAATAGAAAAAGTTAACCGGGCACGGTGGTGCAAGCCTGCAGTAACAGCTCCTTGGCCGACTAAGGTGGGAGGATCACTTGAGCCTGGGAGATCAAGACTGCAGTGAGACGTGACTGTACCATTGCTCTCCAGCCTGAGTCACAGAATGAGACCCTGCCTCAAAAATAAAGTCTATTGTATTGGAAAAAATGCACCTCCGTTTGACACCGATGACTGAATCTCCCCAGAATTTTTTTTTTTTGGTAAAAAATTAAACAAAAAACATTTTATGATTTTTAACTTTTAGAAATTTTATATTCGTTGTATCTATTATTCATATTGTTTGTTATCAATAAATTGAACTACTGGTAAAAATCATCACTATAACACAGTAACCATAATGGGAACCTGGTCTCCCTTCGAGGAACTATTGTCATTCATTTTATTTTTCATCCAATACATGACATGCTTTGTTAACTTGTAGAAAAATAAGCATGTTAGTGACGGAAGCTGACAGGGAGGTACTAAATCTTGTAAAGACATTTTCATACACACCGAAGGGAAGACTAGGTAGCATGACACACATTTTTGATAAAATAATATATTGTTTCTTATTTTTTTTATCATGGTCTACCAGAACATTGTGTGAAATGTCAAATATTTCATTAAGTTTATATTCCTTTTCTTTCTTTCCTTTTTTTTTGTAGAGTTAGGGTTTCGCCATGCTGCCCAGGCTGATCTCAAACTCCTGGCCTCAAGCAATTCACCCACCTAGGTTTCCCAAAGTGCTGGGATGACAGGCGTGAGCCACCGTGCCCGACTGGGATTCTTTTGGTAAGGGCACTAGTCCCACATTTGAAGGTCCACTTTTGAAACCTCATCACCTCCCAAAGGCTTCACCTCCTAACACTATCACCTGTGGGGGTAAGAGTTTCAACATAGGAATGTGTGGAGGGGATAAAACATTTAGATTCCAGCACTAAACTAGCCAAGTTGATCCATAAACCAACCGTAACAGAGCTGAAGGTGTTCAGTCTGAGACATTAATGTCTAAGACAAAAATTCCACGTGAAGTGTGGGAGAGGATCCCACAGAACAAAGTGGTTACGTGTTGTGCAGTGGAGCTTGGAATGTATGCCATAGGCAGGAGCACATTTTATTTATTTTAAAATTTATTATAATTGTTTTTGGTAGAAGTGGGGCGTTGCCATGTTGCCCAGGCTGGTTTCAAACTCATGGGCTCAAGCAGTCCGTCCACCTTGGCTTTTAAAGTGCTGGGGTTATAGGCGTGAGTCACCTTGCCTGATCTGCTATTTCTGGAATACCTATTGTGCAGCAACCCACCTGGAAAGTAACATTGTTCCTAGATACATGCAGCTTTCTGTCTAGCGGAAAATCCCACAGCACCTTATCCATTTTCCTTTCCAAAGTTTTTAGCTGAATGTCCTTTCCAGATAAAGGTCACGTGCTTGGCCAGGCACGGTGGCTCACGACTGTAATCCCAGCACTTGGGAGGCTGAGGCGGGTGGATCACAAGGTCAAGAGATCGAGACCATCCCGGTCAACATGGTGAAACCCCGTCTCTACTAAAAAGACAAAAAATTAGCTGGGCATCGTGGCGCGTGCCTGTAATCCCAGCTACTCAGGAGGCTGAGGCAGGAGAATTGCCTGAACCCAGGAGGCGGAGGTTGCGGTGAGCCGGGAACGTGCCATTGCACTTCAGCCTGGGTAACAAGAGCAAAACTCTGTCTCAAAAAAACAAAACCAAAAAAAATCACGTGCTTACCACTGTTAAAAACATACATACCTATGAGTCCAGTAGCATAGCCTTTCTCTTTCAATATTTTTGCAAAAGTTGTCTCATTTGTCGGAAGACCTCCAGATGCTCCAGTCCACTGAAGAACACGGTAACCAACGCTGGAAACCATCCCTTTGAGCAATCATTAGGAAAAACAGTTACCGTTCCACATTTGTTTTCTGTTATTTATTTATTTATTTATTTATTTATTTTATTTTTTGAGACAGAGTTTCACTCTTGTTGCCCAGGCTGGAGTGCAATGGTGCGATCTCTGCTCACCACAACCTCCACCTCCTGGGTTCAAGCAATTCTCCTTCCTCAGCCTCCTGACTAGCTGGGACTATAGGTGCACACCACTGTGCCCAGCTAATATTTTTACATTTTTTGTAGAGATGGGGTCTCACTATGTTGCCCAGGCTGGTCTTGAACTCTTAGACTGAAGTAAATCCTTTCACCTCAGCCTCCTAAAATGTTGGGATTACAGACATGAGCCATTGTGCCTGACCTAAAAATGATTTTATAATTTCATCCAACTCTTGATATAATCCAAAGGTTCTCAAACTTGTCTGCCCATTGGAATCATGTGGGGAGCTTCAAAATATTCTGATGCCTGGTTATCACCCCAGGGGTGCTAATTTTATTGGTCTTGGCTAGAACTTGAGCTTTGGGATGGTGGGAAGATCCTCTGGATAATTCTAATATACTGACAAGGTTCGTAGGCACTGATAAAATTTATTCTCCTCTCCAGACATTCCAAATCTCTACGCAAGGGTTGGTTGGCTTGTTTTTTATCTGTTTGTTTTGAGATGGAGTCTTGCTCTGTCACTCAGGCTGAAGTGCAGTGGCGTGATCTCAGCTCACTGCAACCTCCACCTTCCATATTCAAGCAATCATCCTGCCTCAGCCTCCCAGGTAGCTGGGATTACAGGCACTCATCATCACGCCCATCTAATGTTTATATTTTTAGTAGAGATGGGGTTTCCCCATGTTGGCCAGGCTGGTGTCAAACTCCTAACCTCAAGTGATCTGCCTGCCTCGGCCTCCCAAAGTGCTGGGATTATAGGCATGAGCCATCGTGACCAGCCTCTACCCAAGTGCTTTAAAATGTAGGTGTTAAGCATTATTATTATTATTATTAAGGTTTTGTCGTTATTCAGCTGTGACAAGGCCAACAGATCAGGAGATGACTGCCGTTGGACACATAGTTCATTACTTACAGTTCCTGATAGTTTATTACTCAGTGTTCACCAGGAGCTGGGGTGAGCCATGCTTTGTGATTATATGGGGAAGCTCCAGGGTTGGTCAGGAGACAGAGGGAGTGAGGGGGAAGCACGAAAAGACCTTTTCTTATCTATTTTTTTTTTTCTATTTTGGGAAATAATGGGCAAGTAGGGTAAGCCGACTTAAGACTGGCCAGTTTGTATAATTTCCACGGGCTTTGGTCTGCAGAGGCTGTCCTTAGAAAGCTGGTAATCGATTCTGGGGCATTAGGGCAAAGAGAGAGTGGCCCCACACATGAAAATCTCATAAAGGTGATAGTTGGGGGTGTGGGCTCTGTACCTATGAAAGTTACACTCCCAGGTGACTTGTTTGCTGTCTCTAAGAATTGGCTGCATTGGGAGGGCCAGTCCTGCCAAGATAGCAAGCCCTGAGATGTCAAACATCAGAATATAAACCTGCCTGGGCACGGTGGCTCGCGCCAGTAATCCCAGCACTCTGGGAGGTCAAGAAGGGAGGATCTTTTGAGCCCAGCATTTCAAGACCACAATGGGCAAGATGGAGACAGCCCTCTTATCTCTAAATCAAAAAAATCTATTAAAAAATCCAAATTTAAAAACTAAAAACTGATTAATACACCAGGCTGGACCCTAGTGCAGCTGTAAAAAGAGAGACTAACCTGACCGAACAGGGTACCTGCCCGTGAGGAAGGCTGCTCTGCTCGGGGTACACAAAGATGCGGCCGAGATGTGCTGGGTCAGCTTCACGCCGAACTCTGCAAGGCGGTCAATATTTGGAGTCCTATGGAGGGACAAATTAACACCTTTACTTGTTAAAATGAGACAGGTTTTTCATAAGCATAGCTACGTGCTACTTCATAGAAGGTCCGCTGGTCACGTTGAGTGCTTCAAAATGTTCTTAGGAATGACCTAAAGACAATGTCAAGGATTTCTAACGTCTTCTGAACCTTCAGAGAAACATCAGTTCATTTAAATAGGAGAGCCTGGGCATGGTGGCTCATGCCTGTAATCCCAGCCCTTTGGAAGGCCAAGATGGGAGGATTGTTTGGGGCCAAGAGTTCAAGACCAGCCTGGCCCACATGCAAGGCACTGTCTCTACAAAAAAAAAAAAAAAACTTACAAAAATAGGAACGTTAAGGCATGGTGGCGCAGGTCTGTAGAACCAGCTACTCTGGAGGCTGAGGAAGGAGGATCGCTTGACCTCAGGAGTTGAAGGCTGCAGTGAGCTGTGATTACAACACTGTTGGCACTATTGGAACTGAGAGAACAACCTCAGAAAATGCAGAACTGAGAGCCCGGGGCACCTTCTGCGGGACTCACAGTGTTCATGGGAAGGTTTGACTTCATGGACACCAGCACACTGTAGGTGCTACATGAGGGTGAAAGGCTGGGATTGGGACAGGAGGATGGACTAGCTCTAGCTCGCGACAGATGGGCACGCCATATTTTGGCATTAGGAAGGTGTGGACTTGTCTGCCTGAAGCAGAGCTTTTCAGCAGGGGAGCACTGAAATCCCGCAGTGCTGGGCTTGGCCAGCTGGATAGGATAGGAGTGGGATGGAGATCGATACTGGTGTTCTGCTTACAGGCAATGGCACTGGTTTCTTCTGTTTGTATTTTGAGACTGAGTCTTACTCTGTTGCCCAGGCTGGAGTACAGTGGTGCTATCTGAGGCTCACTACAACCTCCACATCCCAGGTTCAAGCGATTCTCCTGCCTCAGCCTCCCAAGTAGCTGGGATTACAGATGCCCTCATCACATCCAGCTAATTTTTGTATTTTTAGTAGAGACTATGTTGGCCAGGCTAGTCTCCAACTCCTGACCTCCCAGTGATCTGCCTGCCTTGGCCTCCCAAAGTTCTGGGATTATGGGTGTGAGCCACCATGCCTGACCTGTTTGCTTTTTGAAACAGGGTCTCATTCCATTGCCCAGAGTGCAGTGGCCTGATCACAGCTCACTGCAACCTCAAACTCCTGGGCTCAAGCAGTCCTCCCACACCTCACCCTTTTGAATAGCTAGGATTACAGGTGCATGCCACCATGCCTGGCTAATTTGTTTTGAATTTAAAAATTAATGTTTCTATTTTGTAGAGACAGGATTTCACTATGTTGCTCAGGCTGGTCTTGAACTCCTGGATTTAAGTGGTCCTCCTGCCTCAGCTTCCCAAAGGGCTGGGATTACAGGCATGAACCACCATGCCTGATTAATGGCAGAGATTTCTAAAGCATTGTGCATCATGTACTGGGTGGATAAAAATCATATTTTAAGAATGAAATTAGGCCAGGTACAGTAGCTCACACCTGTAATCCCAGCACTTTGGGAGGCTGAAGTGGGTGGATCACTTGAGGCCAGGAGTTCGAGATCAGCCTGGCCAACATGGTGAAACCCTGTCTCTACCAAAAATATAAAAATTAACCAGGTATAGTGGTGGGCAGCTGTAATCCCAGCTACTCAGGAGGCTGAGGAAGGAGAATCTCTGGAATCCGGGGGGTGGAGGTTGCAGTGAGCCAAGATCACATCACTGCACTCCAGCCTGGGCAAGAGTGAGACTCTGTCTCAAAAAAAAAAAAAAAAAAGAAAAGAAAAAGGAAAGAAACGAAAAGAGGCTGGGGTATGGTGCCTCACACCTGCAATACCAGCACTTTGGGAGGCTGAGGCATGTGGATCACTTGGGCCCAGAAGTTGCGGAGCAGGCTGGGCAACATAGCAAAACCCCGCCTTTACAAGAAATTTAAAAATTACCCAGGCACGATGGTGGACACCCACAGTCCCAGATACTCAAGAGGCTGGGGCAGAGGATCACTGGAACCCAGGAGGTTGATGCTGCAGTGAGCTGTAATTGTACCAGTGCAATCCAGGCTGGACCACAGAGCGAGACTGTGTCTCAGAAAAAATAATAATAACAAAAATAAAAATGAAATGAGCAGTCATATGTAACATGGATTGAAGTGGGGTTAGTGCTGGCAAGGGATGAAAGCAACATTGGAGAGAGACAGAAAACACAGAAGTGCTGCAGTGTGAACTGCCACGATCAAGGGCTATGTGCATTTTCAGTGGCTTCTATTTCTTCTGGTGTCTGCATTGGGGGCACCAGGGAAGTCTTTCTCTGTCACTTGCCTCATGGTGTTGTTGCCATAGCAGCCGATGTCCCCGATGCCAAGGTCGTCAGCCATCAGAAGAAGAATGTTCGGCCAGGAGGCGGAAACGTCGCTGGAAGCTGAAGGCGCCAAACTCAGCAGCACGCTGAGCATCCCAGCCAGCCGGCCCCTGAAGCACAAGCTGTCAGAGACCGTGCCACGCGCCTGTGCACCTCACTTGCCGAACTTGTGTATGAGGGAAGTTGGCCTCGCTATTTTAAGGGGTACAGATATTATCATCACATTTCAGACTAGCTTTCAGAAAATCTCTCAGGCATTTGATTGTTTTTCTCTGGTTACAGTTAACTGATACTGTGGATGGTTTTATTTGGCCTTTAAGTATTTTCTTTTGGAAGCTCTAACGTCTGTTGTTAACTGATTAAACTCCTGACTAACAGGAAGCCTTGGTCGACTGCAGTGGCTCAGGCCTGTAATCTCAGTACTTTCTGAGCCCATAGCTCGTGGATTGCTTTAGCTCAAGAGTTCAAGACCAGCCTGCATGACATGATGAAAACTCATCTCAAATTAGCTGGGCACAGTGGCACATGGCTGTAGTCCCAACTACTGGGAAGACTGAGGAGGAAGGATGGCTTGAGCCTGAAAGATTGAGGCTGCAGCGAGCTGAGATCATGCCATTGCACGACAACAGAGCAAGGCTGTCTCAAAACAACAGCAGCAACGATAAAAAGCAAAAACACACAGAAAACCTGCCTAGTCATGCTTTGCTGGATGGATTGAGTCCCCAGAACAGCTAATGCCCCTTCTCCGTTGCCTCTTCTTCTTCATTGTTCTTCCTTAAGCAAACTGTGTTGAATTTACAGACTGGGGACTGGGGTTAGGGGTTGGACCACCTAGCAGAGCAAGGAGGAGGCATAGCTTGGGGCAAGGTGAAACCACAGTGAGCCGCTACCTCTGAGTCTATGTGAATCCTCTGTTCATTCTAGCACCCAGATGAAAATACCCAGGACTGACTTCTTTAGCCCACTGGTACCTGATTACAAGTGGGTTAGGAGGTGACAGAGGAGAGATCCCAGCCTAGAGGAGAGAGCCCTGGCGGTTGCGTACTATGAGGCAGCATTGGCGCAGGGCTTGGTGACATACAGCCTGACAACATCATTGCTACCTCTCTCCTCGATGCCACCCTGGGCATGCACACAAACAGCAGGGCCACAGTGTTCCAATCCCCAGTGAGACGCAGTAAAGACATGATCCGAATCTCCAAGGTTTGCAGTAGGGGAAACTCTAGCTTTCCTTGGAAAACCAGACACCTGGCCCACGGTAGGGGTTGATGCCCACCTGACTTGCAAAGAATGAAATAAAATTCCTTCTGAGGCTGCCTGGGACAAGGCCAAATCAAGGGAGCATGGAGCACATCTATTAATCACGAGTCTCACGCTTCATTCTCCAGATGCAGGATTAATCACTATCAGTGCATTCTGAGAAAGCACCGTCAAGAGACGCAGAAACGGTCAGGTGTGGTGGCTCATGCCAGTTATCCCAGCATTTTGGGAGGCCAGGGAGGAGGATTGCATAAGCCCAGGAGTTCAAGACCAGCTTGGGCAACATGGTGAGACCCTGTCTCTATATAAGAAAAAAAAAAAGAAAGAAGGAAGGGAGGGAGGGAAGAAAGTTAGAGAAAGTAAAAGAAAGAAAGAGAAGGAAAAAGAAAGAAAGAAAGAAAGAAAGACTATTAATGAGTGCATATAATTCTATCTTACCAAGAATGCTGAAGATGTAACATGTCGCCTCTGTCTCTACCCCTGCAAGACATAAAGATGTCCACAATCACACTGACAGCAGAAATTGAACTGACTATAAATGACACAGTACGTAATTAGAACGGGGAACTTTGATTCCTGCTCATGATATCAATAGCAAAAATATCTTAAAACAATGACCAAAATCTCATAAAGGAATGCTCTTCCCTAGTGAAAAGCTTCAAAAATGATTAACACCATGTTAAGAATGGAAACCATGTTTCAATAAACAGCCAGATGGAGTCTTCAGAGCAAGAGGAAGAAAGCAGTCTGAAGGTCTCCATCCCCTTCACCAGCTTTCGTCGCCTGTGAGTGGCGTTGTCAGGGCACAGGACTGCAAAGTGAGGAGAGAATCCCAGTGTCCAGAAGCACATGGTTTTGTCTTTTGATTCCTGAGCCTGGGGCAGGGCTGATTCCTAACGTCCAGAAACGCAAAGGGAGTCCTGATTTGGAAGCAGGAAGCGGGGAAAGATCAAAGCTTGGATCATACACAAAAGAACCTGAGTGGAGGGAATGAACATCAGCGATACAGCGATCTGAGAACAGAACCGGGAGTGTCAGTCTGAAGGAAGTGTTGCATGAGGGAGAGACACATTCACCTTTGCTAGGGGAAGGTGCCGCAGGGAGAGGGTGCGACCATTCAGACTGAAGGATGGAAACCTTCAGTCCACAGAGGGAAACAGGCGACCCCCAAAGCACAGAGGGGCAGACCCTCAGTCTCTTCAAGAAGGGAGGGAGAGCCCAGAGTGCACAGCAGGAAAGGAATGGGATGGATGACGTACAATTCGAGTTCCAAGCAGCAAGAGGCCACCCTCAGGGCACTGCCGTGGTCTCACCCCGCTGTGCCTGTGCGTGGGACTGAGGACAAAGCTTGGATTTTTTTTTTTTTTTTTTTTTTATCTTGCCCAAGCTCCTATCTAAGGGGTCTGGAGACTTACGCCCTACACACCATAAATTCTCCTCAGATGGGTTTCATTCAGTCCTGTCTACAGTGACGTACTTTCCAATCTGATTCTGGCACAACGTGGCACAAATAAGGAAGTCAAAATATTTTACCCAAAACATGTTTTTTTGCCATATTTTGAAATGGCCCTGCAAAGCCGTCCTTTGGGGGTGGGGGGAAATTTGCATCTGTAGAAGATCTCTATTTACACAGCTAGATCTTTTTCTTCCTAATCCTGAAGAGATTAACTGAGAGTCCGGCATCTTTTAAAGGGCCTGAATAGGAAACATCTGTCATCTACTGTCTCTAAGGACAGCCTACGGTGTCCGCAGTCTTCATTTTAACCTGAACATTTCTTTTCTATGGATCCCAGGTCTTTAGGTGAACTTAGCCAATTGTCAACCAGGAAACGTTTAAATCTCCGTATAAGCCGGAAGCCCCCTGGCTTAGAGTTGTCCCACCTTTCTGGACCAAACCAATGTATTACGTCAATGTACTTGATTAATGTCTCATGCCTCCCTAAAATGTATAAAACCAAGCTGTGCCCTGTCCACCTTGGACACATGTTCTCAGGACCTCCTGAGGGCGGTGTCGTGGGTCATGATCACTCACATTTGGCTCAGAATAAATCTCTTCAAATATTCCATAGGGTTCACTTCTTTTCATCAACAGGACAAAGGACAGCGTAGAAGAGAAGGAGACAGGAGCAGGCTGATGTGGTGGGTTTCTGCCTCTCAGTAACCCCGGAAGCGACCTGGCCACTTTTTTAGAAGGGCCCAGCAGCCAGTAGGTGAGGACACACTGAAGCCAGCAGGCACTGAGAGTGCACAAGTGGCCATGGTGGCTGTCCAGGTGACCAAGGACAGACACAGCCAGTGTGGGAGCAGGGAGGGCAGAGAGGAGGGGCGGGCAAGGTCCACAGGGCTGCAGAACCCCAGGGTGTGACTGGGAGAGAAGCGATGGATTGAGAGATTTCCGTTTACTCCTAGCAGGATTCAGGGACAAAACCAGTCTTCTGAGAAAGACAACGAGCTTTGTGAAAGGAAAATAAATTTTGGGGTCCCCAGATCACTAAGCTAACCGGAAAAGTCAAGCTGGGAACTGCTCGGGGCCAACCTGCCCCACTTCTATTCAGCGTCACCCCTCAGCCCACTGAGATAGATGCAAATCCGACTGCCTCCTTTAGAAAGGCTCATCAGAAACTCAAAGGAATGCAAGTTTTCCTCTCTCGCCTGTGACCTGAAAGCCCCCTCCTGGCTTGGAGTCTTCCTGCTTCAAGTCATCCCGCTTCTCTAGAGCGAACCAATGTACTTCTGACACATTTTGATTGATGTCTCATATCTTCCTAAAATGCATAAAACCAAAGTTTTGTCCCGACCACCTTGGGTGCAAGTTGTCACGACCTCCTGTGGCTGCATCGCGGAAGCATCCTCAACCTTGACAAAAATCAACTTTCTAATTTAACTTGAGCTGTCTCAGATTTCTCTGGGTTTACAGCTTCAATAACAGAGTGAAAAATGCTGATCACAGGTCATGATAAAAGAAGACAAAGCCACGATCACTATGCAAACAGGGAAAGCAAAGAGCAAGTAAAGGGTCACGAGATTCATTTGTGGTGGGCTGGGAAGCGAGATTTGGTGTCTTCAGACGCCAAGTGAACTTCAAGGGAAATGCATTCTTGTGATGATCTAAAACAGATACGACGCTAAAAACATAAAGAGCGTGTACTGATTTAGTACACATGTGACTTTAATGAAAGCAAAACGAAGAGAGAGAGAAAGGCAGAAAAGGAAAGAACCAGAAAGACAAAGGCAGAGACAGAGAGAGGGCAAGAAAGATGGAAAGAGAGCAAGAGAGAACCTTCCAAATTGTAATTGTTTATGGCTCAAATAGAAGGAATACAAAGGGAAATATTTCTAGAAATACAAATAAGCTAGATACCGAAAAGCACTGGATAAAATTCAACGTCCCTTTCCTGATAAAAACTCTCAAGAACCTGGGTATAGAAGGAACATACCCCAACACATACGACAAACCCACAGCTAATCACACTGAACAGGGAAATCTCAAAGCCTTTCCTCTAGGATCTGGAAGAAGACAAGGATGACCAGTTTCACCACTTTTATCCAGCAGAGCACTAGAAGTCCTGGCCAGAGCAGGCAGGTCATGGAAAGATATGAAAGACTCTAAATGGCAAAGGAAGAAGTCAAGTTATCTTTGCAGGCGACATGATCTTACATTTAGGAAAAAACTCGAGAGACTCCAGAAAAAAAAGCTATCGGAACAGATCAACACTTTCGCTAAAGTTGACAGATACAAAATCAACATCGGAAAAGCAGTATTTATCTCTCTATGCCAACAGCAAACATTCCAAAGTAAGAATAAATCAGCTAAACTGATTAAATAAGACAGGAGGAGGCTGAGCCCCGAGGCTCACGCCTGTGAACACGCTGGGAGGCTGAGGGAGGCGGGTCACTTGAGCCCAGGACTTTGAGACCTGCTGGGCAGCATTTCGATACCCCATCTCAATTTAAAATAAAGATTTAAAAACTTTTTTAAAAGACAGTAGGAAATAACACCGAATTGCGACATCTTCAATCATTTTCTGTCTGTTGAAGACAAAAAGACCGCAGATATCGCCTGTGCTTCGTTTAGAAAACAGAAGGAAGGGGTAAGGCACACATACTCTGGCGCTGAGCTTTTCGTGTTTGTTCGCTTGTTTTACCCTAGAGGGTGTTCACAATTCTAATATTATAAAAGTAATAGCAAAATACGGAATTACTTTTGTGCCAACCTGACAGCACCTTCACTGGGAAAGAGACTGATTTCACATTGTACCTGGAGACAGCGCCAAAGAGAGCATTTCAATACCGGCAGCTTTGCTTTCTGGACTACAATGACACGCTGCCAATGTTCAGAAAACAACGACTGAAAGCAAAACACTGTACAAATAGCTGTGATGACGGAACCCCAACCCACCACAAGACAGGCGAAGGTGGTTGGCAGCCATCCTGCCCAGCAACGGCCTACCTCTGTATCTCTGGGTGTGGAGATTTACGAAAAGTGTTCTTTTTCCACTTTTTCTTTTCTTTTCCTTTTTTTTTTGAGATAAGGTCTCGCTGTGTCACCCAGGCTGGAGAGCGGTGGTGCAACCAGATCTCACTGCAGCCTCAAATTCATGGGCTCAAGAGATCCTCCCACCTCAGACTCCCAGGTAGCTGAAACTATAGGCACACGTCACTATGCCTGGCTATTGTTTTTTGTTTGTTTGTTTTTTGTTTTTTTATTAAGTAGAGGTGGGGTTTCCTCTCTTGCTCAGGCTGGTCTCAAACTCCTGGGCTCCAGGGATCCACCCACCTCGACCTCCCGAAGTGCTGGGATTACAGTGAGCCACTGAGCTGGGCTAATTTTTCTTTGAGGAAAAACTTAAATAAAGACATGGTGATAAAAGCCTTGAATGAGTTTAAATTTGGAAACTGTGACACTGAAGTGACCCAGAGTGTAGGGCCCGCAGCCTCTCCTGCAGATTAGAAAATAGATCCCCTTTCTCCAGGAAAGAGCTACATTCCTAGGCCTGTAAGTCACAGGCACTTTTCTGCTTTATAAAAACAAACTGGACAATATTCCGAGACCGAACAGGGAATGGGAAAGTCTGTTCACCACAATACTTCACGCCTGGGCACAGAGTCTAATTCCAGCACAAAGGAACATCTCAGGATTCACCTCTGCTCCTGGCTTCCCTCCTGAATCCCCAGCATGAACAGGAAGGCTTCTCCCAAAGGAAGCAAGCTCGGGAAGGCGGACAGCGCTCGCACAAGGCTTTGGGCTGGGGATGATTGGCTCTGCTTTTCCCGGGTCAGAAGGAGATCAGAGTTAGGGCAGACATCGGGAGCACAGGCACCCCCCACATCCCAGCATGGGGGATCTCAAAGCCACGCCTACATCCACCAAACCTGTGGTGAGTCGCCTTAGGTTTTTTTCTTTCTTGGTTTTTGTAGAGACGGAGTTTCCCCAGGTTGCCCAGGCTGGTCTCGAAGTCCTGAGCTCAAGCGATCTCCCATCCTTGGGCTCCCGAGCTCCTGGGATTACAGGCATGAGCCACCGCGCTCTGCCACTCTCCTTAGGTTTTTAAGCGATTGCCTATGCTGTCCTACACAGGGTGCTTGCTATAATATGATCATATCCAGTCTGGCATGGTGGCTCATGCCTGTAATCCCAGCGCTTTGGGAGGCCGAGGCAGGAAGATCCTTTGAGGCCAGGAGTTTCAGAGCAGCCTACTCAGCAAAGCGAGATGCCGTTTCTACAAGAATAAAAAAATTAGGCTGGTCATTGTGGCTCATGCCTGTAATCCTAGCACTTGGGGAGGTTGAGGCAGGAGGACTGCTTGAGCCCAAGACTTCCAGACCAGCCCCGCCATCATAGCAAGACACTGTCTCTACAAATAATAAAACAATTAGGCAGGCATGGTGGCATGTGCCTCCCACGGGAGGCTGAGGTGGGAGGATTATTTGAGCCTGGGAGGTTGAAGCTGCAGTTTTCACTCCAGCCTGAGTGACAGAGCAAGACCCTGTCTCAAAAAAAAATTTTTTTAAGAAGTTATCTGTTCAGTGGTAAATGAAGTAAATAAGAAATAATAAAGATAAGATAAAAATAAAAAAGAAAAAAATTTTTAATTTTTTAAGCTAACAACAAAAAGAAGTAAAAAGGCCAGGCACGGTGCCTCATGCCTATAATCCCAGCACTTGGGGAGGATGAGGTGCATGATCACTTGAGCCCAGGAGCTCGAGACCAGCCTGGCCAACATGCTGAAACCCTGTATCTACCAAAAATACAAAAACTAGCCAGGCGTGGTGCCGCATGCCTGTAATCCCAGCTACTCAGGAGGCTGAGGCAGGAGAACTGCTTGAATCCGGGAGTCGGAGGTTGCAGTGAGCCAAGATCACAGCATTGCACTCCAGCTTGGTCAAGGGAGTGAGGCTCTGTCTCAGTAATAATAATAATAAAGATAAAAAGAAAAAATTTAAATAAGAAAAAAGTTTTAAAAAGGATTATTTTCAAGCACTGCTTAATTAAAAAAAAAATAGAAAAGACATGTTGGGCGCACTGATTCACACCTGCAATCCCAGCACTTTGGGAGGCCGAGGGGAGCGGATCTCCTGAGGTCAGGAGTTCGAGACTAGCCTGGCCAACATGACGAAACCCCGTCTCTACTAAAAACACAAAAATTACCTGGTTGTGGTGGCACATGCCTGTAAACCCAGCTACTTGGGAGACTGAGGTAGGAGAATCGCTTGAACCCGGGAGGCAGAGGTTGCAGTGAGCCGAGATCACACCACTGCACTCCAGCCTGGGCGACAGAGCGAGAGAGAAAAGAAAAGAGCAAGAAGGCGGCAGCAGCCTGTGAGGCGTGAGCTCTGTTGGGAGTCACTCTACACAGTGATCCCTAGCATTCAACCACCCTTGACCTGCAAGGAGGGGTTTCCTGGAGTTAGTTCCACCTGCTGTCTCTTCACAACTTCGTACGCAGCCACGTGCTGAGTCTGCGGGAGGTCACAGAGCCTACCTGATCCTGCCTCCTCCTTACGTAGGTGTGAAAACAGCCCTACTTCTGGGATGAAGAGCGGAAATGGTGGCGCACTCCGGCCTGACTCATTTTTACAAGCAGACCATTTCGATGGCAAATCTCAAAAGGAGTATTACGAGGGCGTCAGAAATGAGCTCGTTTCCTGCCACAGGTGTGTGCCCTAATGGTAATTGCTTTTACTTTCTGATTCTTGGCAACAAATCTTAAATCATTTCCTTGTAGGGGGCGTAAAGGAATATTTTCATTTATATTTTAATTTATATATTCATATTTATTATATACAATATAGTATAACTTTTGTACATCATACATAATATAAATGTATCACATAAAATGTGTAAATAAGGCTGGGTGCGGTGGCTCACACCTATAATCCAGCACTTCGGGAGGCTGAGGCAGGAGGGTCGCTTAAGTCCATGAGCTCAAGATCAGTCTGAGCAACAAAGTGAGAGCCGATCTCTAGAAAATAAAATAAAATAAAATAAAATAAAATAATAAAGTATGTAAATATATAATAAATCATAATTTTTAAATTCAGTATGCATGATTTTCTTTATAAAAATAATATATACTTTTAAATATATATGCACATATATGTATAGATATATAAAGTGTGTACATATATACACATACATATACATGTTATAATTTGCACATATAAATATAAACATATAACACAAAACATACATATATGTGTACATGTTTGTGTTCATATATGTATGTTTATATACATTTACATGTGCATGTATATAATGTATATACATGCATGAATGTATATAACATGTATATAACATATATACACATGTATACATAATGTATATGCATACATATAAAACATGTAAAGCTATACATATATTAATATATGCACTTTTTTCAAGAAAAATGTTTATATATGTATGTATAGTACATATATACATATAAAACACACATACATATAACATATATATGTACATGATTTTTCAAGGAAAAAGCATATTATGGGGTACTTCTGACTTGCCTGGGAATGTGACTGGTTGTGTTTATGTGGCTGGTTATATTGGTATCTAAATATAGGAGCTTCAATCATGGTTGAAAAGTCATATGACATCAAGCCTGTGGCCTGCCTCTGAAGAGATGCATTTATGTATTTAGCCACACAATAAAAGCAGAGCTTTCTTTTCTAAAGAACTCCGCACTTTAACCCTTAGAATGTTACACATTTTACTCCAGATTGAGTTTTTGCTACTGAATGAAAACTTTATATTTTTTATTTTAAAGATACAAGACATCTAGAAAGATTCAAGAGGCTGGGTACAGTGGCTCACACTTGTTTTCCCGACACTTTGGGAGGCCGAGATGGATCACTTGAGGCCAGGAGTTTGAGACCAGCCTGGGCAACATGGCAAGATCCTGTCTCAATTTAAAATAAAACAAAATAATAAAATATAGAATACAATAAAACATAATGCAATACGATAAAAAGAAAAATAAAAGAAAAAGACGAGGAAACATCCAAGCGAGACTGACAATTTAGCCTTCAATTCTCTTCCAGGGAGCAGGAACCGCACCCCTCCTTTCCCGCCCTGACCTGCAGTCCCGGGCCGCCAGCCTGTCTTCGCCGCTTTGCCTGGGCCTGTTCCCAAGCCCAATTCCGCCTTTCACCCCCAGGAGCTCCTGAACGTTCAGCGCGTGCGCCTTCAGCATCTCTAAGGTCGGAGTCTGGTGTGGATGCAGTGCCTGCCATTTGGTACATCTTCCCTCACTGATTTTTCTTACGCATTACCTTTGGGAATCTCCCACGTAAAATCTGTACTTAATATTTTCACTGATTATTATTATTATTGTTTTTTTGAAAGGAAATTGCTTTTCAAACATTGACAGGGACTTGTTTGAAAAGACGCAGTTTGGCACGAAAGAGTGTTCGGTTGAGAATAAGCCCTGGAGCGTCTCCGCACGTGCAAAAGCCGGCCTGTGAGAAGAAGCCCAAGGAAGTCCAGTTACCTGAAATGCAGTTCCATCAGGGCGAGAGGGGGGCTGCTCCTCAGAAGAAATCCTTTCTGCTTGTGAAGGCAGACACTCACCGGCTCTCGCGGCAGCACTGAACGGCTGCTCAGGCGCGTGCGTAGCTGATTCACTCTGCAAAGTGAAAACAGGAATTCCGCAGAAACCAAGTTAGGTTGTCCCAGAAACAGATCAGACAAGTTCCCAAGGAATGTAGTGCTGGCTCTTTCAGGCGCCCACAAAAGACCTTCTGTTCTATTTGCAGAGCCTCACACTCACGGAAGGAGCCCAGACATCTGGTGCTGAACACACAGTTTTCAATGGCAGGAAGGTGGAATCCCTTCTGGTTTTGATCTAGACAGACTGCATTTTCCAAAACGGAAAAGTGGTTCTCTTGTAAACTCATCTTGCATAATCACTCCATAGCTCTTAAATTTCATGCCTTTTTTTTCCTTTTGCTATTTTTCACAAACATAAAAACAAGATAGAAAACAATTCACGTTACAGTTGCAGCTGCGGCTGTGTGCACTTAGCGCGAGCATTGCTGTATGTATATTGCTGCTGACCTACTAGCTCTTATCACTGTCACCTCGCTGTAGCTCTACGCACCAATGTCAGAGATCACATTTCTTTTTTCTTATTGAGGCAGAACATACCTTGCAGGCAGCATTAGATGTATAATGAATCACTTCAAGGACTTTTTTTTTTTTTCAAATAAGAGCTGTGTGCACACTTCTAGGTGTTGAATTAGAAAAATATTCATGGGGTCACACTATATTGCCCAGGCTGGCCTCCAACTCCAGAGCTGAGTGATCCTCCCATCTCAGCCTCCCAAAGCATTGGGATTCTACTCGTGAGCCACCATACCCAGTCTGTTTGTTTTCTCATTATTGAGTTGCACTATTGATTTGACAATATTTTCTCCCAGTCTGTGGCTTGTCTCTTTTTTTTTTTTTTTTTTTTGAAACGGAGTCTTGCTCTGTTAACCAAACTGGAATGCAGTGTTGCCACCTCAGCTCACTGCAACCTCCGCCTCCAAGGATCAAGCAATTTTACTGCCTCAGCTTCCCAAGTAGCTGGGACTATAGGCATGCACCACCACGCCCTGATAATTTTTGTACTTTTAGTAGAGACAGGATTTTACTATATTGGCCAGGCTGATCTTGAACTCCTGACCTAAGGTGATCCTCCCACCTCAGTCTCTCAAAGTGCTGAAATTACAGGTGCAGGCCATACCACTGTGCTTGGCCAAATAAGAGCTTTCTGCACTCTTCTACATGCTGAATCACTAAAATAGTCATCCTAATGCATTTATAGTCTCTACAGCCTGACCACTGCAGAGTTTTGGTTTGAGATTCCTGCTTGCCAAGTAATCTGCAGCTGCACACATGCTTCATGAGTTTAACACATGAGAAAGAATGCCGCGTGGGCTCGATGGGCTTAGGAACGCCTACCAGTCTAGGCCACACCTACTAGTTATGTTGCTCTTGAGGGAAGGCTGTCAACACTCACACAGTTACTTTTTGCACAAGTTGAACATCAAGGAAATAAAACCAGGATCCCAGGATCCAAACTGGAACTCCCAGGTTGCCTGAACTTCAATCTGCCTTTCTGTGTTCTGGGACGAGGCATGATTACGTCACTACCCTACTATTGACATTTGAGGAGGATGATCCTTTATTGTAGGGGCCATCCTGTACATTGTAGAATGTTGAAAACCATCCCTGGGCTCCACTCCCTAGAAGCAGGTAGTGACCACCACCTTCTCCCCAGTTGTGAGGACCAGAAATATCTCCAGCCATGGTACAATGTCTCCCGGGGCACAGAATCACCGTGGGTGAAAACACTGGTGTTAAGCACATATTTTGCAGCTGTCTGGAGAACATTTCACTCTAATCATGCTGGGTGAGCAATTTCACTTTGTTTCTCGGGCTTCCACATCCTTCAGAGCTGGTAGCAGAATCAAGATCGTTACACACCCATACTCGCCAGCTGCTTTTACAATGCCAGCATCCCAAAAGAAATACTCTCTTAGCATCAAGTAACTAGTAA